CTGCATGAAACCAATTATAGCTACCTTTACACAAACAGTCAGAATCTGTCAAGTGTCTCCAGGTTCCTCTGGGTGGAGGAGCTGTAAATCTCTGGTAATGAAGTAATCACCAAACCCTTCCCCATCGCTCAGACACACACACACACACATACACGTTGAATAGTGTTGACTTTGAGCTGCCAGGAGTAAAACACACGTCCTTCCATCCATGTAACTCTCGTGTCTCTTTCTCTTTTCTGACACATTAAGCATCAGATTCCTGTCGTCAACGTGAATAAATCTTTCAGCCTTCTTTTCCACCTCATCGATCGAGGCGACCACAGCTCCATGTCTGGCTCCAGCCCTGGGCTCTGAGCTGCTTCGCTGTTTTGCTTTCCCTAAAGCTGTGGAGATGTATAATGAGGATTTCCGTTGAAAGAGCTGTTAAATTTCTCCCCAGTGATTTTGCTGCTCTGGCCCCTCCCTGAGGCGACCTCCCACACACTGACAGTGTTGACATACATGGGACTGGACAGGACAAATCTGTGACCTCCACTGATTCTCACACTTTTACACTTGGGGCGTGTTGACCTTTATTCAGGTGAGGTCAACTCAGGCCTGTATTTACCTTCAACACGTTTTTACACCTTTACTTAGTTCATACAGCAGGTTTAGTAATGTTGTCTGTTACCAATTGACACAAAGATGATGTTTGTCTTGTTTAAAATGCATACAAATTGGTTGAATGTTATTTGAACAGATCAAGTTTAGCCTTTTTGTCTTAGTCAAAGAAATATTTAAATGTTGGGGCATTTGACAAAACCAGCCAGCGTAATAACTATATAACTACACTCAAGTCTAAAAGTGTCTGAAAGTCATTTATTATATACTGTCGGTTAGCTGTTTGTTAACATTGGGCTAAATTCTCTAAAACATCTTTTCTGTTCTGTCTCCACTGTTTCCTTTTCACTGACATCACTCACTTATCTTTGAATTTTCAGCTCTTTCAGAAACCTGGAATCTTCTCCACTACTGTGTGGGCAATTACCGTTGTTTACATCTGTGCAGTGGAGCCATTTTGGTCAGGATATAATTATAATAACAATATCCTTCATTCTTCCCCAAAAGCGTTTCCTCCAGTCCCTGTGATGACGGGAGCTGGTGGATTGGACGGGGTCCACCTTCTGTGGTGCCGGTCCACTTTGCACATTAACACAATCTGTTTAATTGGGGGGTGAGAGAGAGGTGATGTCACGGTGGCTGCAGTGGAAACTCCTGCCCTCCTGTATCACAGCGCCTATTTGTCAGAAAGACAGTTTTCATGTTAAATTGTTAGATAATTTATAACAATAATATTTCTTCTACTATTTGTTACATCATTTCTTCATATTGTGTCAAAGCACAATGTGAAAAAACGCTGTGTTTCTTGCTGTTGGAGGCTGTGAAACCACAGCGATGAGCTAATAGCTGTTAAAACTGTGTGCAGGTGATAAAACAACAAGTGGCCCATTGTTAGCATAGCATGTATTGATTAATACAGCAGCTTTTTGCAGCACTGAGACATGAGCTGGACCAATAATAATCCCTCAAATTAAGCAGGTAATCTGGGGTTGACAAAGCAGTGCTCGCAACGTTTATGGAAATTATCCTCAAAAACTTTGTAAAAAAAAAGCACTTCACAGATGATTGGCTGTCTCAAACAGCAACTCCTTCTTTCCAATAACACCAGTCGGGCAGGAAAACAGTAATGGCTTCTCCTGGCTTTTAAAATCCCTGCTTTGTGTTGCACGTATACCTTGACTACAGTCAACACTTGGCACATTTAACAGTGGCCCACGTCCAGTTTATTATTCCATGCTGAAGTACCCATGAGAAATCACCCAATAATATTTTACCAGCACGTAACGAAGCGATCCCTGGTGTGTGTGCAGTCATGAATACACAAGGTCGTAACAACAAAACCCTCAGGTTTGCACGCTTGTACAGTAAATCCACCTTTGCTGGTTAAAACAATTAACATATATTACAGTAATGCAGGCCATACAGATGCAGCACCCTGAAATATGGAAATCACAGACATACAGAGTCTGGAAAAACAGTGAGGGAAATGATAGTATGTTTAGATGATGTCCAGGAGGGACACCAGATAATTTGACAAAGTGCTGGAGTGGAGTGTGAGAAAATTCCAGACAGGTTCCCAAACTTTTCCTGCACGATCTGTCTTTGGTGGAGAGGACTTTTACTGAGCCTCCAAACTAAAATTCTGTGTCAGATTCTCCAAAGAAGTTAAGTAGACAGCAACTGGACTGGACTGCTCCCCGGGTCCTTCGGCTGCCCCCTGCCCCCTGTGGTGATCACAGTTGGTTGTGTGAAGTGGTGAGTAATTGACTTGAATTCATTAATCCATTCAGTAGAACTCAGGTCTGAGGGAGTTATATGCTTCTAGGTGACAGAAGACTGTCATACAGTGGAGACGTGGTTAAGCTTGTGCCTTACAGCACATGATGGTCTTTCTGATGAGTGTTTATGTGTTTTGTGCAGATACTCAGCCCCCCCCCCCCCCCACACACACACAACCCTCTCCCATTTCCCCTGATCCACACATAGTCCAACAACATGGAGGATTTGTCTATTTTATAAGTGACCATATTTGTGAATGTTGGTGTGAATATGTGTCCCCTATGATCTGAATAAGAAAAGCTTACATTGTTATAAATATTCTTCATCCTGCAGCTCTAAGATCATCTCATCCCTGAACCCCCAGTGGAAGGAAATCCATCGCTGCTCCGTCTCCCTCTCATCCGTCATTTCTACGTGCACTGACCTGAGCAGAGGGTCACAGGGGTCACGACCACGCTGTCCATCTCTGTTACTGCGGCCATGAATAAACACAGGCTGATGTATGGGTGTGCGCGTCCATCAACAACACACATGCACACACACCCATGCACGCACGGCCTCGTGCCGACTCCTCTGACATAATTAGAAACATTTGGGATCATTTGCAAAGGGAACACGAGCTCTGATGGGATCCAGATGCACTACTGGGTATTTCACTGAATACAGGAACCCTTATTTACGAGAGGCCATTACTGGCTCCTCACACACACTGGGGAGATGTGTGTGTGTGTGTGTCTGTGTGTGTTGCGGTTTTGTCCAGATTCTAAATGAGTGTTTGGATGTGTACATCGTCCATATTCAGGTCAGACTCAGTTTAATGGCTTTTGTTTTTATGAGAAAAAGAGTAGAAAACACTTTACCACACAGACACACGCAGGTTAAACACCACGCTGTGTACTATGGAAAATGCATTTACTTTTATGGTACTTTTTAACATTTGTGTCTGTCGGTAGTAGGATGTCTCTGTTAAACGGAGCTTTTGGCCCATGTTAAACATGGAATATCACATTTGACAGATATTTAAATTATTTTTTTATTTTTTATTTTAGGGACTGATGAATACAACCAGGCTAGGTTTATCTTGTTTTTTGTGTTTATTTTTTTACTTTGGTTTTGTTTTTGGAGAGACATGGCTCACATTGAGCCATTTCTCCACCTGTGTTTTTGAAGTATTTTATTTTTTGGATACATTTATCTTGTGTACCTGTAACTTATCATTTTTGTGTTTTACTTTTTTTTTAGCTTCGAGTTAGTTCATCAGAAGACAACTTCTGACTTTATTTAGACTTGCATGTTTTAATAGAACTTATAACAAAACTTTTTTGGAGACTTGAGAAATTGAGAAAACATAGAAATTGAATTCTTAGTTTTTTATGAATACCACTGAATGTTCCTTTTTTTAACTCAGGGTTATTTTTATTTTTGTGTCTATATTTTACAACTGTCTCCTTTTCTTCTGTCGAATTCTTCTTTTTTCCTGTAAAAGAAACAAAAGATCACGCAGTTATGATTTACGTGGCAAAGGAGTACTTGTACTTTGGTGCCCTCTTGTGGCCTACTTATTTAACAAATACAATTTAAGTTTGCTGGAAGCCCCGAGGAACATAATGGGGATTCTGAGTGGTGATTTAAATGGTCAGGTTTACAGTAAGCAGAAATAAGTTGGCAGTCAGGTAAGTCGAGGTGAACCTGAGGTGAAATCTGTGAACTTTATTTCTGTCTCAACTCATAAATGTGGAAAGTTCATGTAATTCACCGTAATGAACCAGGGGACAGCGGTGATTTTTGAAATTGCAGCCGTAATCTGTAATAACGGCAGAGCTGAGCCAGCTTCACATAACTTTTTATGTTTTCCATGGACAGAAAAAGGTCAGAACTCCTGAGTGAATGTGGAACAGAGCAGTTCTGTCTATTAAAACCTACAAAGATTTGGTTTCAGGTTTCGCCTCCTAACTTCCTGCAAATATTAAGACGCTGAACCATAACATTACATCAGACCCTTACGGCATTTTATTTTAAGAATAAAAAAATAAATAAAAGTGTTGGAAAATGTAAAATGACCGTTTAAAGTTCAACTTGTCACAGTTGGCTGTGGAACTCTGTAAAAACCTTGAGATTTATTTTTTCTCTTTTAGAGTCTGTGTAAGTTTGCAGAGGTTTATGGAAGTGAGAAGTGATGGTTTACACATTTGTTAATGTGTTTTGTTTTTGTAACTACTCACATTTCTATCTGTCAATGATCCACAGGTTGCATATGCTGCAGAACAAAGTGAGTCCAACCTGGTTCCCTTTCCTGTCAGATTCTTCACTGCGCCTGAAAAATGAGGCAAACTATTTGTTTAGCTCACTTTTATAATAATTGTTGGTACCTACTCTAAATGTAAGCCTGTAAAAATACTATTTTCTAGGCTTTGCTACTTTTTATGTATAAATATGTTTGTTGTGTGCATACATGTGTACACGTGTGCATCATTTTCTCACCCACGTTACTCTGTGCAGGATTATCAGACACAGACTGACTGTTTGGTAGTCTTGGTGTTGAGTGACTTGATCAGCTGCTGTTTCCTGGTCAGATGAGCCTGAGCAGCCAGGTTTCCTTCAGTTCATCACTGTGACATCACTCAGGTGCCTGGAAACTGATCCATGGACGGAAGAAGTCCTGAACAGAAACAACCCAATGAGGTGAGAACTGTAGGCGTGGGCAGGTGTGTGTCTGAGTGTTTGTTTATTACCAGGTGGAGGCCTAAAAAGAGTCAGTCGAACCTCAGGTGGTGAAGTTTTGAACAGTTTTAGCACCTTCTACAAAAGAGAGAAGAGAAAGAAATGACTCTTTCCAAAAGACGCTGCAGATTTAACACATGTATTTCATATATCCTCTGGTCACTAAAATACTCCTGGGCCAAGATACTAGATATGAGTATAGATGAGTTAGCTTAGCCTGAATGACACAAGTGGCTAATCAGGAGCTAGCAGATAGCATTTTTGGTCAGCTATTTTAAGGCCTGTGTATTAAATGTGTTGGTGCAAGATAAATTAGCTGAGATGTGATGGACTTGTAAATGTTGCCCAGTGACTGAGTCCACCACGTGACTCTGAGGAATGATGTAGATTTAAGAATAAAATATCTCATTTGTGTCTGTTCTGTCTTTTGGCCTCTAACCCATATACATTGGATCCACATCTACCCACAACTGTCAGAGCGGTGTGTAGTGACAGCTCACATACTGAGTAGGACAGCTCCTTCAGTGATTGGCCATTGAGGGCCAGCAGCACGTCTCCCTCCTGGATCCTGCCGCTCTGCTCAGCCGGCTGCCCTGGGAAAAGCTGCTTTATCCGTACCATGCTGCCAAACTCCCTGGTGGGGGGGTCCAGCTCGCACATAATGAAGCTGAAGCCCAGGCCTTTGGAGCTTTTGGTCAGCATCACCTCCTGGGTCTTGTCTAAAGATTTGGTGGTAGGAAGATTGATGCCAGACAGAAGCACAACGGGGAAATAAAGAGAAAGTATGAAATGGAATTACTTAAATACAATCACAGTTTTCTGATCAGGCATTTTTGATCATCACAAGTCAGACATTTGTTTCTTAATCTCCTGCACACATCATAAGAGGTGAAATGAACATAAATTATTGCTAAATGATTGGCAGACTTTGAACAGAGTTCTCCTAGAGTTTGTCAGTGAAGAAGGAGAGTTGTAGTACATTGGATAAAGGAGGTGGTTGGCAGGATCAGGCAGGCTACAGGGATAAGAAGATGTGGGTTAGGGTCAGTCAAGAAGATCAGGATGAAGAGGAGGAAGTGTGTAAAAGTTCACCTTGAAGCAGTCAGGCTAGCATGACCTCCGCTGCTCTGAGATCACAAGGCGGCTTAGAGTGACAGATCTGACTCTCACGAAACTGCACCCTTCACTGGATTACAGTGGCGCAGGGACGTATGCAATTACAAACACTACCTTTTATCCTGTGTTTTAAATAAATCCCTCTGTGGTGATTGTTGTGAGTCTGAGTGACCCTTTATTATAATTATTCCAGTATTTGTATTTTTGAACACTGCATATTTTTAATATTAATACTTTTGGAACAGTCAGGAGTTGATATGATTATTTTGTATGGCTAATAATGTTTTTTAATTTAATAATTTTAAGTGTTTAATTGTTTGTATGCAGGTTCCACTGAGGTGACTCTAACTGAGGTTCCCTACCATCCGTGACGAAGCTGTAGTCCCTGGGCAGCTCCCTGCTGGAGATCGGAGGAGTGCTGGTGGAGGAGCAGCTCTTGAGTCTCGGTCGACTGGACCCTGGACTCAGGCTCTGATTGGAGACGCTGCTGTTGGTGTCTGCACTCAGGGAAACCCTGGGCAGGTTCATTTGATCCCTCTCCACGACCATGGTGACCACCTGGAAGAAGAGGATGTGACATCAGCCGCTGACAGTGATGCAGTGTGAGAAGGAGTCTGTGAAGGATTTACCTCCGAAGTTTTACTCAAACAATCCACAGCCTGTTGGTAGGAGAAGCCCTGGAAGTTAACTCCGTCCACCTCCAACAGTCTGTCACCTGGAACACAAATGTAAACATTCAGGTGCAAGGTGTATACCTTTACTATGTCCACACACTGTCAAAGACTTTCAGGTATTTAAAGATGGAAGTTTAAACAGGAAGAAAAGAATGTGCCCTCAAGTGGTGGGGTTTTTTTCAGGTATTTAAAAACGAGTCATGACTATATATAAGAGTATACATTTAAATGAGGTTTGTGGGGCTGCCCCTTGAAGCTGTCACTGGTGGGGTCGTCTCTCTCTCCTACTATGTCCAGTGGCCAAGAAGTGAGACGTAGCCTTTAGTGGCTGCATGACCCACCTGAGGTTTGTGGCCCAGAAGTTTTCTTTAAAAGTTATTTTATGTTGCTGAAAATAATGTTGTGGTTCACTGCATTTTCTTCAAGTATTTGAAAAAGAGAAGGACTTAAGAAAGGGAAGCAGGTAGTGAAGGTGAATCTGGTGCAGGTGGTTTTGATTTCAATTCCTGTTTGTTTGTTTTTTTAAGTAATGAAAACTGCAGCCCACTGGCTCAGTCAAATTTTCTTTAACCTTTTTATACTGAGGTCACCTGGTAGTGTGAGAAATCTACTTCTACAGTCTTCCAGAACATGTCACTGTGTTCTCAGTAGGTGAAAAGGTGTTCTCAGATTTTGTTTTTGTGGTTAGCGTACCTAGAAAACATGCTAGTTAGTTTCACATTTATGGTGTTTATGAATCTGTTGTGCATTTTGACCACAAATTAGGAGACGGGAACAGGGTCCCATATTATAGAGTAAATGAAAATCAGAGGTGTACGGCACATGTGGCTGTTCTCCCGGAGTGAACGGACATTGACTGTGATTCACTGTTATCAGCATCAGTATTTCAGTATTGATCTGGACGTTGAGCTGTTATACCTGTGTGTAATCGTCCATCTCTCTCAGCAGCTCCTCCTGGAACAAGTCTTTTGATGAAGATTGCTCCATTAAGAAGGTTTGTGTCGACACCGCCCTGAGAATCAGTCAAAGATGAACTTTACTAAAAATGTTTCCATTTCTGGTTTAACTCAAGGGACTATTAGCAGAAATACTTGTTTGTTTGTTTTTTAACAAATGACATCAAATCATTTTAAAACCAAACTAACACAACATCTCTGTGATTCAACATAGACTCACAGAGATACTGATGCCCAGACTTCCTGTGATCTTCCTGAGCTCCACGCTGATCTCCTCTGACCTGCCACAGTTTAAGGAGGAGGACATGGAGCAGCCATCCTGAAACAACAGAGGTCAGCCGCTGTCAGCCTTCTTTTTTAATATTTGAAAAAAGGTAAAGATCATATTTTAAATAGTTTCCTATTTGTCTTGTTTTCGAAAGTATGTACTCCCCCTTTCTGGGAAGACGTTTGTCTTTGGTTAGGATAGCAAAACAAAATCCACTTCCTTTTTGAGTTGTCCTGGTGGGGAAATGTCTAATAACATTCCATTACCATCCATTCATTTTCATCCTCTTATCCGTTACCAGGTCGCAGGGGCAGCTGAATGACCGCCACCCAAATCACACTACACCGTACCAACCCCCCCGAACCTTCCTGCAGGTGGTGAGTCCACTGGAAGGTACCAACCGCCCTAACTGGGATTCAGGGATTCCACACCAATGACAGAGACGTTGCCTCTGGTCCAAAGCGCCACGATAACATTCGTTTGGAGAAAATAAAATAAGGCTAGGATGAACAGTTTCTAATCACTGTTGATTTTACCTGTGGTCCTAGGACTCGTAGATCACATGGCACATGCAGTCTGTTGGTGGTCTTCGGTGTCATGGTGAGCGACACGCTCTCATCCAGGCTGTTGTTGTCTGACCGGCCATCTGCCATCAACACCGACTGGGATTCACAGTTTCTCAGCAGAGGTGAGGGCACGCTGTTTGGACTGGATCGAACTGCAGCCGAAAAAAGTAGGAAAAGATATTTTCTTTAGAGAGTAAGCTGAAATATGAGAAGCATGTGCAAATTTTAGACTACTAATCAGTTTAAAAAAATCAAACTGGTGTTTCTAGTAGCTTTGATTATTTTTATTATTTAATTAGCTAAATGAATGGTGCAAACCATAGTCCCTGACAGATGCATATTTAGTAATGAAATGTTTAAATAAACGTTCTGTTCAGATGTAAACATTACCATAGTATAGATTTGTGTAGCCAAGACATTTTTATTTCTCACTTTTTCGTTCATGGAATTTTATTCATGAAGAAGAAGTGAGAGAGAGAGTTATAGCAATACAAAAAGATAATAACATGCCATTATAAATATAAAAAAAACACTCAGCCCTTGATAACAGGACGTGCACATGCTAAAATGCTACCATTATAAATATAAAAAAAACACTCAGGACGTGCACATGCTAAAATGCTCACATTGAGACAAAGAATAATACACACAGGTCAAATATGTTTAAACAACATTGATTCAGAGCAGGTGCATCAGAGGACTAGGTTCAATCGCCAGTTTATTGTCCATGACAACAAAGAGAGGACGAGGGTCACAGCCAGAGTGTCCCCACACGCATGCACTCACTCACATACCTTTTGACTGTGAGATAATGAGCTGCACCTCCTCGGGGGTGCTCTGCATGACCTCTGCCGCCTCGCTATAGGTGACCCCCTCCAGGCTGACATGGTTCAGAGAGATCAGTCGGCCACCTGAGTGCAAAGGTCACAGTGAAATGTGATGGTGTCCAGTAACAGAGGAAAAGAAAAGACCTTAGACCAGAACTTCTCAGCCTTTGTGTGACCCCAGAGTTGTCCGTGAGACAGCCCACGTGGATTTGTACTTCCATGATTCAAAGTCGTGCACCATTTTGGCAAAGCTTAAGTTTTCAGTTTGAAGCAAAATCACTGATGCTGTTATCTACCTGGCTGAATGCGTCCATCTTTATCAGCTGGTCCACCTGGGACAATGGAGGCAATGAAGATGCCCAGGTCATAGCACCCAACAGCATCCTCTCCCACTATCACTATACCTGATGGGCACAAACCACAATGAGGACAAAGGGCAAGCCCAGAGACAAATCGATGGCCTGTGATCAGGGCCAGCTTACCGAGGCCAAGCTTTGGGTCTTTCTTTAAAGTCAAACATATGACTTCTCTTTCTGTTGACTGCCTCACTTTAGTCAGAATTTCTGTGAAACATAACATAAATATTTTAGCAAACATCAACGTTTATACACTTTACAGGTTGAAATATCCAGTGTGGGTATGAAGGGAACATCCACCAAAGACGCCGCCTTTGAGATAAATGTTCAGAAATGGCTGCTGATCTTTTCTGTAAATTTGTTTGTTTGCTAAGATTTCAAATTCTGGATCCGGACATGTTTACTTGAACTTCATCTTGCACGCCCTTTTGGCTCTTGTGTTCCTCCGTTGCCTTCTAATCCAGCAATCTTAAACAGACAGCTCTCCTTTATGGTTTGCCAATGTTGGGACTGAGCTTTACTGTAAGTGCTCTCTGAGCATTCCATATCCCTCAGAGCAGTAAGAGAAGATGTCATGGTCCTGCTGTACCTCTTACTGGTGGAGAACCAGAGGGCGCCTGAGATCCACTCCTTTGAGAAAGAGCTGGAGACCGCATTCCTGTGCTGCCGCATCGACTGCCAGAGAAGATACTGTCGGAAGAACACACTTTTACCACTGATGCTATTTCTGTTTACCTTTCAGGTCTTTTTGACTCTATTAACCTGTGATCATTGAGGCTGTGTGGTTTAACACGGGACTCCATCCTGGCAACCAGATCATTACACATCTTTGTCAAAGGCTCGTTCTGAGGCGTGGTCAGACCGCTTTCATCCTGTGGTGTCTCTGAACATGAGTAGGATTTGAGCTGAGCACGACATGCTGCTGCATACTGCACCATATTTGAATCTGGGGTCAAAGCAAAAGACCGATCACGGAGTTACTTGGATGAACCTTAGCATCGGTTGACTTTCATGTCTGGGTAAATAAGAAAGAGTCACCTGAGGTAAGGCTGTGGCTGAGCTGCCGAGAATTCATCTCATTGTTGAATTTATGTTGGGCTGAACAAAGATCACACAAATACTTGGCTACCTTGGAACTCTCTGTGACAAAAGTGTGCTTCTTCTTGCTGCCACGGGTCTCTACTACAAACTTTCGCCTCTGGAAGAGCAAATAAAAAAAATAATTTAGGTTTTGAATTTTGTTTCCATAATCTCCTAAAATGACAAGAATAATTGTCACAGCTTTACTCACATTTGAGGAGATAGTCGCAGTCTCACGCCAGTAAAAATTCTGACTGGTGGACCTGCAGCCACCTTTAACCTCGTACACCATGACTCCTTTGGCACAAACTCCCAGGATTATCTCTCCTTCTGCTGACTTTTTTTCACGTGTCACACGATGGAAGAAGACACCGTATTCAGGCAACTGTTGACACACCTGATAGAGTATTCAGGCAACTGTTGACACACCTGAAAGATTTTTTAAAAAGTGCCAACTTTACGTCATGCGATGCTCTGGTTTTAAGCATAATACAAATAAATGAATAATTAACTTTTAATTCAACTTTGATTCCGATTGCTCTACCTTGAGGAACTCCAGTTCACATTCATCAGGGACCAGCTGTGTGTTGTTGGAGTGGAGTCTGAGCAACTCCTCCTGAATGTAAGGCAAGGCACGTTTCTCCATCACACTCTTGGGGACATACTGGTCAGGACGGTAGTAGTTTCTAGAATATACCTAAACACAGGAAATCAAAATGTTTCAATCGTGAAGTTTTGGTGATTCCAATTTTTGTAAATCTAGGTTTCCTAATTGGTAATAAATGGTCGGTGTACGGACCATTTACACCTCCCTAACTGACCAACTAACCTCAGGCATGCAATCTCCATATTCTGTCTGCAGGGCAAGACCTCCCAGGTACAGAGCTGTCTCTTCATGGCAGGACAGCCTGCCCTCCAGGAGGTCTCTCCTGAGCTGAAGGTAGTACTGGTGACGGGTTTGACTGTGCCTGGTGACAAATATTTCATAAGATTTGACCAAAGACAAAGTCATATAATCACTGTGGGGAATGTTTGGCTTTGGGGAAATGAATGCACTTACAAAATAAGAGAAATGTCACTGACAAAGAATTTGACTCTGAAGAAAAGAACAAAGGTAGTTGAAGGCACTTTCTTCCAGCTCTCTGGTGCAACTTTGGAAATCTTGGAGTCGTTGTCCACAAAGAAAAACTCATTGTCTGACCAGAGGCAAAAAATAAATACATTTTAAAATAGCAGAAATATAGCAGGAACAACACTGATCCTGACTCATCTTGAATCCTCATCTTTACCATCAATGTAAGCAAGGCCAAAGTAGAAATGTTCTATCAGGTTGGAGTGAGCCACGATCATATCAAAGACGTCGCCTCCCCGGGATTTCACCTCACACTTTACCAGAATGCTCTGGCCGTTTGGCATCACCACGTTCAGCTCTCGCTGGGTGGTTGGAGATTTCCCCTTTTTTGACTGCAAATAGAAACATTTGGAGACGTTTGGAAGTTTGGACAAGGTTGAGATTATGTAGAAATAAAGGACAAAAAGTCAACTTATTGATTAGCAGACTTTAACTGTCCGGTTGGCAACAGACTAAAATGGACTGTTAAAAATAGGAGACAATATTTCCAAATATTTATGGAAATATTTAAAAGCTTTATACTCACCACGATTGATCCAGGCAACTCCAAGGCAACCTGTGGCTCATCTAACATTCTTATAAACTCAGGGCCCAATTCCTACGACATATGAGCAAAGCAAAGGCAGGGTGATATAACGTACTACTATATATATTGAACTGACAATGCATACTGTAAAGACTTGGCTCACCTTTACTTTCCTGTCATTCAGACTCGCTGTGGAATTAAACTGTGCCAGGGATCTCAAGTTGGTACTTCGATAACCATCCAAGTACGGACTGCAAGGACTTCGGTTCAGCTGCTGCCAGCTGCTGTAAGTCTCTCTGTTTCGTCCCCCAGAGGGAATCCTGGGAAAAATGAGTTTTCCCTCTTCAGTCCAAGATGAAAGTCAAAATCTGTCACTCATGAAACCAAAGCTTTCAACCAAAAGGTAACATACTTAAAGTTTAATGCAGGAGTCTTTGTAGTGTTTGTCTTCCCTGCACACACTCTTATTCCACACTGGTTTTGTCATTGGAGACAGTACTGATATTTTTTACTTATACTTGTTAAAATGAAGGGCTTTGGTTGGCACGCGAGCACTCACCCTGCAGCCTCAGATGTGTATGAAGAAATCTTTTTCTTTAGAGCCCATGTGGAGTTACTGAACGATCCCCCTGGAAAACAGATTGGTTTTCATTCTTATGCTCACATACTGACATGAAACTATAAATTTGCCTCTTGTTGAGCTGGGTAGCTAGGTATCTGATAGATGCAAACATTATGGGTATTCGGTATCTGATAGATGCAAACATTATGGGTACTGACAAATGAATAGCCACAAATTTGAATTATTTACCTTTTAACTTATTGAGTTAAATCATGTGCTATTGCAATTTGTGAATGTAGACAGGGGAAAAATCCAAGGATAAATGTAGATATAAAAATGAACATTTTCATAAATACCTATTTACTATATACTGTATGTGAAAATTACTTTGATATCGTGACATCTGTTGCAAGATTTAGAGCAGTTTGGTGTAGTCTGATTGACAATAAGGTCACGTCATTTTTTTTTTATCAAAAGACGGCTAGTTACCATGTAATCTATCCCTAATTACTTGACTGCGGTCTGCTAGTTTGGGTCCATTTTCAGCCAAGGAAACTTGATCGTCCTGCAAAGATAGCATTGTTCAAGTTGAATGAAAAACAAAAATAATAAAAAAAATGCAGCCAGCCCTCAGAATGGCAGTGTAAACTAACTGAGGTTCTGTAGACGTCTTCAACTAGCCGTTTGATGAGGTGTTCTGCAGGAGGCAGTGTAGCAGCTTTTTGGTGAACTTCACACGTCCCCAGCACCGTCAGTAGGTCAGTCCTTCTCATCACCGTGTCCTCACACATACTGAGTAACAGACCCTCTAGCTCTGCACTTAACTGGACCGGCTACAAAAAAGCATGTGGAACACATCAGGAGAGATGATGCACTGCAAGATACAAGTCTGAGCAAGAAGAGGAAAGAGAAAGAAAAGTACCTGATTGTGAGGCAGATGATAATCGATGCACCAGTAAAGAGTCATCCCCAGTGAATACACTACCATCTGAAGGAGAGCAGAACAGGTTTATTCTGATTATGTCAAAAAACAAATGTTTTAGTCTAATATTGCTGTCAACAGTTTCTTCAGGTTTTTACTAGTAGTGGAAACTTCTAGACTGACGTTGGCTTCTAGACGTGTTGTGATTAGAACACAACAGTAACCAGACCTTTTCAGCTTGAGTCCTGGTGGAGGATGCCGCAGCGTGCTGCACCTCAGGAGCTGTGAAGGAAGTCACATCTTCATGTTGTGCACAGCTCTTAAAGGCCAAACTTCCATTGGCTGACAGCAGCACTGAACCAGGACTCAGCACGTGGTACATGTTGCCTGAATCTGATAATAAAAATATAATGAAATACTGTCCCTAACACAGCAACAAGGTGAACAGGCAGGAAGATAAAGGAGAAAGAAGTTCTGATTACGTTTACTGGAGATGTCCAAAAGGGCCTCTGTTGTGGCGAACAGAAGGCACCAGACTTCGTCCTCATCTAGTGGTGAACCCCGGGCCTCCATCACCTCTGCCAGGGTCACGAATGTACCCATTCTGCCAGGGTAGGCATGCACACAAGAACATTATATCCGTGAGAAAAACACGAGGTCTGACTTGTGCTAGAATCTATCTGTGATACAGCAAACCTTTAAAGGTCAGAGGCCAGAGGGTCAGACAGACAAGCTTAGGGATTAGGTGGATGTGGATCTAATTGGAAACAAATCCTAAACTGCTAAAGGCTTTCATTTGATACATATACAGTGTAATGTATTAGCTTGCACAAATCGGGATTTAGTCTTCACAGTTACATCATTTGTCCTTATGTTGCCAAAATGTTTAATGTATGACAGCAAGGAGATGTAAACGTGCTATAGTTAAGCTAAGAACCTTGTAGCCACTGTCACTTGTGTCTTGGATGACAATGAGTTAATAACAAGTAGTACTTAAGAACTACAGCACAGTATGCAGAAACAGAACTTCGATTTTTGGATTGGATCTTACAAAACGGCTCTGAATTAACTGGTTAGCTCCATGCTCTTCATTTACTATCGCAGTGCTAATGCTGCTTTATTTATAACTGTTGTTCCAACACCTATTGTGCAGTGATTCAGACTGATGAATAGTATTAAATCCAAGAACAAACCAGACGCAGCTCTGCAAGTTGATAGCTGGCCAAATGAGACACATTTCTTAATCTGTTTATGTGTACTGTGATTTAATTCGAGCTGTTTAACCTCTGGTAATGTGTCTAAAGGTTAGCTACAGTACGATAATCTGTGCAAGGTATTATGCCAAAAAAAAACCAAAACAAACAAAACAAAGCTGTAGTATATTGCAATGACTGTAGTATATTGCAATGACTTACTACTCAAATGTAATGAGTGTAATTAGTATTTATTTCCAGTAAAGCAAATGTCACTGCTTTTAACTTGATATTCAGTGTAGTTTAGATTCAGAAAGTGTTTAATTCTTGAGGTTTGAATTAAAGATAGTTGAGTAAAATCCATTCTGCAATTATTTTCTAAAATGTAAAAATTAACCATTGTCTTTCTGGTTCCAAAGAAAAACTGGGTCATTACCACGTCTCAAATAAAGATTAGATTTTTTAAAAAGAACAAATGCAAGCAGTTGATAAATCAATGGAGTAAGAACTGAGGCCACATTTCTTGGCCTGGTAAAGACCCTGGTTTTGACACATTTATGGCCTACCTTATTTCATTCGGTATCTGTGGAGATTTTTCTTAGGTCCTTTCAGACATCTGCTACGCTAATCCTATGCACCCACTGCTGCCATTCCTCCCACATCACCCGTCTTCTGTCCATCATGGCAGTAATCGTCACACATGACAGATCAATTGTCTCTGTAGAAAAGACACATCAGCTCCATGGTAAAATTTCTCTGTATCTCCACCTAATGACGCGTTGTTTCTCTGTTTTCCGTCATTTTCAACTATTTTTAGATGAGTGACTTTAAGAACATAATTGGATTTGCAGGACAAGCTAATGGCAGATGGGGCAGCAAAGGACCAAGCCGTTGTAGGTGTTAATCTGCTATTTCAAACAAAGTGACACATTCAATTTCCCACTTTCTTTTAGTGTCTCATGTGGAAGTTGCTGTCTGATAATAATTGGACTCCTTAATACACATGGACTTTGTGACAAATGTTTATATTTCTGTCCACTCCAGTTTATTATTAGTGAAGAATACCAAAACTCAAAAAATAAGAAAATAATAAAAATATTTTTTTAATTATTAAAAATGAGTTGAAAATGTCTTAAATAAAAAATAAACATAAAAGATATTATATTGTTTCAGAGAATAGTTCATGATATGACACTTATGTAAAGGGTAAGTAGTTTTTTTAGGTGTCTGAAGAAGATTACCTTTGTGTCCATACAAAAACATAATATTATTATAACTATTATAATATTGTATTATATAGGCACTGCAGGTTGTATCCATCACTATAATAACAGTGTGAGGTAAACAAAGCCATGTGATCCCTAGACAAACACTGGATCTGTACCTTTTTTCACAATTGTATAATAATTTAACAATTTGCTGGAAGACGAAAAAACAAAAAAAAAACAAATTGAGGATTTGCTTTATTCAAAACAATAAGGAAAGTTGTGAAGATAATTTATATTGTCAGATTAATTTTGTAAATTCACTGTTATCTCAGAAAATACAGAAAATAGGAACTCTAAAGAAAATACTGTGTTATTTTTAACGTCATAAAATATCAATTAATACAACTGAAATATTAATCTTTATACGTATTTGCAATTCATTGCATTCCAAAACGTTGGCAACTCGTCGCTTCCGGTTCCCGGCGCTGTAACCGGAAACGCGTAAGCGTTGTTGAACGACCCCCGCTGCGGTTGCTGCTGTTGCTATTGCTGCTACTCATTGTGCAGCCGAGGTAACGTCGGTAGCTTCCGACGAGGTCGGTATGAAATGTCAGAAAGTGCCCGTGTAACGGAAGCGCAGCGATTAGGTTACGTTGGTGTCGCACATATATTTTATGACCTGTTAGAGTGAGGTGTTCAGGAGTATATCCGCAGGAGAAATATAACTGTCGTTTTATCACATACAAGCAAACAAACACCAACACGGGCCGGGTTGTGTGTCCAACAACAGGCAGCGGAGGAAGACTGCAGGTTGACGCGCTGTGGTGGAATTACCCGGAGAAAGGTGAGCTACAGACATGGGACTATTTTCTCTCATTTTTCCTAGTTGTGTTTGACGTGTTATTGTCAAATGTGGGGGATGGGAACTGACATTAATATGGGTCACACGCGTTGTTGAGTTCTGGTGCTGCCATGTATAACATGGTGAGTAGTGCCACAGCGGGCAGGACAGGTCCGGCCTAACCGGGCAAACGGCCACAAACGACCGGAAAACACGGCGTTGTGAAGCCGAGACCCTCCCACATTAGCACCGCTAACACCGAGAACTGTTCCTGGTCAATCCAGAGTGATCCGAACTGCCGCATGTGGTCAATGTAAACTACCAAAGACTTGAGGTAAATGAGGTACAAAGCTACATGTAGTGTAATAGACTACAAAATACAAGAACGTCCTTAATAAAATAAACCAAGTGCGATAGGAAAATTATTAACCTGGGTATTTTTTAACCATGTAAACAGAAATGTATGCTTAAGTCGTTATCTTCATGCAATATGTCCTGCGCCAGTATTTTCACTTGTTACTAGTTCTAGTGTTTGGATAATGTAAAGCGCATACTTCCTGTTTCTCCTGTCCATGAGACTTGTCCCAACTGCACAGACAGAGTACAAGTACAATTGTTGTTACACATAATCAAAATGTTTTGTATGTAAGTGTGGTTTTACTGTTAGAGTATAAACATAAGACAAACTTGGCTACAGCCTTTATTTGAATTATTACATGTTAAAGACAAACTCTAAATAATGCACTAGTCACAAATGCAATCTGGGGGTGCAGCTATATTTTAATACTGCCTAAAGTCAAATTGAGGTGAAAATGGATTGGTGTCAGACTGGGACTCTAATAGTTTTATCAGTTTTTTACTTTAAATTTTCAGTCATATTTTTACCATGTCATGGTTCATTTCTATTCAGTCGGCTGGTTGAAGTGTGGTAAAGGTAAATATGGTTCTAAGCTTTTTGTATTAAATACCTAAAGCCTAGAGCCATATTTAGCAAGGATTTAGGATTTAGGAGCACACAACAGAGTTTTTCAGTTGAGTGTTGCCCTTAAGTCTGAGTGATATCTCCCTTCTGAGTCATCCTGGGGTGACAAAGGCCCGAGATTTCTCTGCACATTTCTTACAAAGTTTACTCCGCAACCTGCCAAGAGAGCAGCAGTGGTCAGCCAATACACTGAGAAATCTGATTCCTGCAGCAAACTAAAAAGGTAGACTGCAAGGAGGAGGGACTGCAGGTTTTGGCTCGTTCTGTATCAACCTTCATCTACATGTCAAGGTCCTTTTGGATGGCTGAGAGACTGTGGGGCTGCCAAGTTATGGATGTTTGCTATGTCATGTTTTCCCAACTCTCTCCAGAGATTTATTACATTTAACTGATCAACATGTCACAACATAAGCGGCCATTAACACGTTTCCACACCTTTGAGCCACATTCAGCACATCACCTGAGAGATGTGATTTGTTACCTCGTCACCTTTCAAATGTGTGAAAGCAGAATCTGTGGAATCTCACTTAGCACATTTTATACATAGACAAAGGAGATGTTAGCAAGTGTAATGACCCTATATCAATTTCTCTGTTGTGATTTCTGAGATTGTGCCTCTGACTCAACAGCTATCTGTAATTTGACACGAATTTGTGCTCCTGTCAACATTGTTATGACTCTACGTCCAGCCATACATTGTTGGCTGACAAAACATTTCCATATTGGCTGAGATTAGCCTGTAGTTTGCAGAGTAGCCTCTTAAATTTGTCCATCCATTCACTCAGCAGACACAAGCAATTTACTGCTGCCAGATGACTTGCCTTTGAATTTGTCCTTACGGTCTCTTATCAGCTGACATTACTTTGGCTGAAGTTAAGTGGTTTACTGATTAAAATCTGACTTTTACTGTTGCTGGGTAATGAGAAAACTAAGTCAAATACATGCAGGAGTCAGAGTGTATGGAACTGGATGGACTGTAGAGCCACTGAGAGACAGATCAGGTGCCAGAGAAGCTGTGATGGATAGCTGTAGTTCTGAGTCTGGACAGGGCTACTAAGACTAATGTGTTTTCTTTTGTGTGCTTTTTTTACTGTCTCCCCTTTTGCTTGTTTTTAATTTAAAAAAAATCTAAATTCTTAATGTAGTTAACCTTTGGGGCTAGAGTGTTGCAGTGGTGCCCTCTAGTCCCAAAATTTCAAGTTTGATCAGGAGGGGCATCAGTAAAAACTAAAAACCATTTTTCCCCATTTTGGTGTTTTGTAATGTGCTGCCCCTACTGTATAAGAGTGTAAATTGCACATGCAGACCCTGTGGAATTAGGTTGGCAGCTCTGTCATGTTGCTCACACTAACCCTGATATATGGCTTTGTGTCCTCATGCAGGGGTAGTCATCCAGTCACACCACACTCTGGAGCTTAAGCATTAGTTCTGATGTATTCTGCAGCCTACGGATAGACATGCTCTTACTCTGTATCGCTTCAGTGCACACTTGTCTCCTTCAGCCGTGGTTTGTGTTTGGTTTACCAAACAACATTTTCTGAGAAGCATGTTTAGAATGCACAGATGTCTTTGCGGCCAGAAAGCTCTGGCAATTGAAGGTGACGTTTTTGCTGTTTCGCTGAAGGATTATGGAAATTCCGTGAGGTGAAGGTCTTCATAAATAAGCCAAAGTTAATTAAATGGGACAGAAAACATAAATTTAAGGACATACAATGACATATTGAGTTTAATGGAGATAAAAAAAGATGACAAAAAACATTGTATGTCAAGTTTATTATGGCAATCATCACCTTGCAAGTAAATCCTTACATCCCAGCCACAATTAATTAGACCACAGGTGCGTGTGACACAGTTGACATTGTGCCTCAGACTGTTGATTAGCTGTAAAAGAAGATTGGCAAAAAAAGGGAGTGCTGCCAGATGTAGGTGGATGATCCACTGTTGTAAACCCTGAGGAAAAGGAGAATCAGGTAAGTAGTTAGAAACTGTTTCTCATTGTTGTTTCCCAGAAATGACCAGGGAATGCTAATTGAATATGTAAGAATGGAATGCACCCCACCAGGTGATGAGAAAGGACAGAAAAATGATAAGAGTTTTTCTGAAATAATGTTTGGCAGTGATAGACATATTCAGTGGTCAGATCGGAGGTAGAAGAAAATCAAAGTCGTTGTGTTATTAACAAGCATTAAACTCTTCGATGTCTTCTTGGCTGCCTGTTGAGGGAAACACAAGTCCTCCACAAGGTTTATTGGTCACAATGAAGAGACATGTCTGAGTCATAAATACATATAACTCTGTATAATGGGTGAGAGCCTGCTCAGAGAAGCTGTGGATCAATGGACAGGGTGGATCATTTTCCAAACAGCAGGCTTAGATTTGTTCGGCACTGCTAGTCTGCCAATCCCCGGGAAAAACAATTGTCTTCTAGCTTCACATCACACTCAGCCATGGAAAAGAAAATCTCTGTCCACCTTTGTTCTAGCTCTTAATTTTTTTAAGGTGTCCTAGAAGAGAAAAATTAAGTTGATTGCCCTCGAGGCAATGCTGATAAGAATCAAATGTTAATTGTAGTTGATGCTTAATTAAATTAACTGTCGGTAGCTCTTACCCGACTTTTAAAAAACTGTGTTTATTTAACAAATAATGTGATACACATTTTATGGGCTTGTACTTCTTTGCAATCTGTTTGAATTGGCCACTAAATGAATGCAAAACTCAATCTGTTGGCTCCTAGATAAAAAACTACAGGTTGAAAAAGAAGCAAAAATAAACTTTCTCTTTTGGTATTGCAGGTTGAGAGACAAGTTGGAGGTGGAGGTGGAGGAGGCGGAGAACTTCACTTGGATGCCACAGTCGGAGCATCTGTCCTAGGTTTCACCATGAACCGAAACAAGCGCGAGAAGGAGTACTACAGTATAGATGTGGGCGATTCAACTTTCATGGTTTTAAAGCGCTACCAGAACCTCAGGCCCATTGGATCCGGGGCACAAGGGATTGTATGGTGAGCAAAAAAGGCAACATACGCTTAAATTGTTGTTCTTCTCGTAGCTTATTTATGTGACGTGTGAGTGGAATAAAAATCCTAATAAATGCATTTTTCAGGTTCAACTGCAGGTCACTCTGGAGATTCTTTAGAAATATTTGGTTAACTTCTGTGGAACTTATAAAAAGGAAATTGTGGGTTATTGCCCTTGATTCTGACTAAAGTTCTTTTTGATGCTGTTCACTCAGTTGTTACCTCTGCTGCCCCCTACAGTTCTGCGTACGACCACATCCTGGAGAGAAATGTGGCCATCAAGAAGCTGAGTCGGCCTTTTCAGAATCAAACCCATGCGAAACGGGCCTACAGAGAACTGGTGCTCATGAAATGTGTCAACCATAAGAACGTAAGAGCTCGACACTTCCACTCAGTCTTTTATGCACGTGTATTTAAAACTCTGTCTATAAAACATGACGCCCTGACAGTTCCACAGCTTAAAGTCTGCTTTAAATACACTCAGTTCAAAAGTGTAATTTCCACTCCAACTGTCAACTGCTGAGTCAGCCGTGGCAGGGCACCTCGTTTGATGGACAGCTGATCCTGAGGATTACCATAATACTGCTGCTGTGTCATGATATCTTATCAAGTGTTTTAAATTAGACATTGTCCTGTTGTTATTCATTATTAATGCCCAGGCTGCTGCTGCAGTGTGGGCAGATTTCGGCAGTGGTGCTGTTGTTGATTCTGGGATGCAGAGGTAGTGACACGCTCTTTATTACAAAGCTCTTTGTCTGATCACTGTGTGTGTGTTTATCCTTTTCATTTCTGCAGATAATCGGATTATTAAATGTATTCACGCCGCAAAAGACACTGGAAGAATTCCAAGATGTGTGAGTATAACTGTATCTGCCCACTCCATGTTTGTGCAATCAATACAGGATGTTCACAGCACATCACTTCAGTGTTTGCACAACTGAGTCCAGTCCTTGCTTGTGTGTTGTCTACAAGTACAAACCAAGTACAAGGTGATACACTTCGACAGCATTAAACAGTTGTTTATGCTAAATGTAAAACATTTAGACTTAGGAAATGGACCGAGCTTTTTGGACTATGGGTCACGTTGTGAATTTTGGCTCTTCCTTGAATAATGTTGTCTCATTTAATTATGATTCTCTGAGAGGAAAGTAGGGATAAATTATAACTAGTACTAGTATGTACAGTGTATATGAGACAATACAACATGTGATTGACAGCTGTACTGTCCAGTACGAGTCTGATTTTCCCTCAAATCTGTGGATATCCCGCATTTGTTAACAATGTCTTTTTTGTTTGTTTTTAGCCTAAATGTATTTGAAAGATTTGATGAAGACATGTCATGTTCAGGATAATGAGTCAAACATGCCAGTTCTACCTAATGCAGAATTTAAACAGGAGTGACATGCTAGTAGATTTATATTTAGCAGCGTCCTAGATGTGTGTTTCAAACATGACATGGCTGTGAGTGTGTGTAGTGAAGAATGTCAGAGAGGCAGAGCAGCGCTAGACCCAAATGTGGGGGAAGTGATGGTTTCACAGGGTATGACAGGAAAAAACAAGATTAATGTCACCCTCTAGAGTGTATGTATGTATGTTGTGTGTGTGTGTGTGTGTGTGTGTGTGTCTATTTGAGTGTGTATCTGCAGTTCTGTATCTGCTTGATTGGAACTAAAAAGGAACTGGACGAATCCATGCCTGAGGGCTGCACAGAGAACCTTTTACAGTTGGAGAATATTGTTGTTATATATATATATATTATTGTTATATAAATATGTTGTTATATATATATATATATATATATGTGTGTGTGTGTGTTGCACTCCTGTATACTGTGTATGTATGATAGCCTTTTGTATTGTGGAAATTGTCAATAGTTTTGAAATGTTCTTATATACTGTGATTTGTCTTCACTCCCTGATGTGTTTTATAAAACACATTCAAAAACACTTTAGTACCAGGAGATACTTTGTTCCTGGCAGCAGCAACAAAACCACACTTCTGCTGAAACACCTACAGCCTCATTGTGTGTGTGTGTGTGTGTGTGTCTGTTTGAAGACTGTTGATTGTCTGCTCTGCCTGTTTGTCTTAACTGTCTGTGGTTTGCCCCTGTAGGTATCTCGTGATGGAGCTGATGGATGCCAACCTGTGCCAGGTTATTCAGATGGAGCTGGATCACGAGAGGCTGTCCTACCTGCTCTACCAGATGCTGTGCGGAATCAAACACCTACACGCTGCAGGCATCATACACAGGGTGAGGCTCGTGAATATAAAGTACTGCATAGTATGCCACATACTGCAGTGTGGTGTCCACAGATTCAGTGCTCTCTACATGAGGACACAGTCTGACTGATTTTAGGTAGTAGTAGTTGTTTTGCAAGGATAAAATTGTTTTGATTCAAAAGATCAGTTATTTCAACTTCTTTTATCTAAAATAGCTAAGTAAGTTTTAATCTGCCCAAATCCGGGAAATGTGTTGTGAAAATGAGACATTCAGATTTTACATTTCCAATTATAATAATTCTGCCCTCAGCACCAGGTAACTACAGCCAAACTGCCACTTCTACATCTGCAGGAACCGGCATTTGTTTACTGCTACACAGGTTCTGAAGCGGTATCATGTCCAACACAAAAACCAATCCCAACTGCTTATTTAAGGAGGAGTTATTTTATGTAAACACTTGAGGCAGTAGAAATGTGTTGTCATCTGTAATAACAGGGGGGTGAGCTGGGAGACATGGGCGGGGGCTAGCATTGTCATCTTACTGACACCCAATTTACTGTACATTCTTCGTGCTCTTCTCTGCATTAGGTGTTTCAATTCACCTTCAAACAGTGGAGAAAGTTTAATTAAGTTTCTCACAGACACACACACACACACACACACACACACACACACACACACACTCACTCACACTCTTTGTCAGTCGCTTGCAGTAGTGGGATAGGAGCTCCTATTCTTTTTATAAGAATAAAAAGAAGTGAAACGGAAGTGAGACGAGTTGTCGTCACCACATTTCACTGCTCCTGCATTGGTTTGCTTCATTGCTGATCAATCAGCATCATTCTGTGCTAGAGTCCAATGGTTTTGTTGTTTATCTCTTGTTTTCCCTCCAGGACCTGAAGCCCAGTAACATTGTGGTCAAATCTGACTGTACTTTGAAGATCCTGGACTTTGGTCTGGCCAGAACGGCGGCTACAGGTCTCCTCATGACACCCTACGTGGTGACCCGCTACTACCGTGCTCCTGAGGTCATCCTGGGTATGGGCTATCAGGCCAATGGTGAGTGAGCAATTGAGTGGAGGGAGAGGCTTCACAACAGCAACTGGCCAATGAGGAGCTGCTGCCTGGCCTGCTGCATGTCTCTTTGCCTACTTCTCGTTTTTTGAGATGATTCAACTGCACTGTCCAAACACAAACACACTTAAACACACTCTCTCTCCACTCTCAGTCACACACAAACACACACTTCCTGCTCCATGTAAAGGTCACACACGGGGAGAGCTGGCATGCTGAGCATCTTTCTTTCAGGAGACTCCAGCAGCGCTGTAGCATGTGTTTGATGTTTTATTAAGAGGTTGCCTGTCCTCACCATTGGCAACCTGGCTGAAGCAATTAATACACATTAGTTCTCAATGAATTGTGTTACATTTTGACAAAGCTTTAAATAATAACAAAGAAGTAAACATGGAGTCTTAGAATTATTAATTTGGTAATTATGTCAAACTAAGCTATTCTTTTAATATTGGTAATACAATACAATGAAAACCTACAGAGTAAGAATGAAGAATTTTGTGACTTTGTCTTAATCTCAATCTAGTCAATAGCACTGTTTTAGTTTAGTTTTAGTTCTTAAATTAATAAAATCACCTCTGATGTCCAGCCAACAAACGCAGCTCTGATTGGCTCTTGCCTTAATGTGTCACCTGTTTGTTTATTTTTACCTGTTGTTTCCACACCACATTCTCCAGTAAATTACAAAAACTTGAATACTTGTATTCTCAGCCCTGTGGACAAATAATCTGATGCTAATTTCTCCTGCTGACTTCTTGCAACTCTTTGTTTTCCTTCACTTTGCTTTTTTCCCTTCTCCCTCCTTTTTATGCTGCGCACATGTAGTGGATATTTGGGCTGTGGGCTGCATTATGGCAGAAATGGTTCGCCACAAAATCCTTTTTCCCGGAAGGGATTGTATCCTTGAGCTGCTTGCAGCAGTGTCTGGCATTTCCTTTAGTAAAGAACAAAAACTATACCCAAAAGTAATCATTAAACTGTTAATATGCATCCAGTAAAAAATTGCACGGAGATTATTTTCCTATGAGCAACTATTTAAAATTCTATTTTAGATATTTCTATGACAACCTACATAAACCCGTCAGACAAACGCAAGTCAGTTGTCACATTAAAAAGATCCAGAAATAAAATTCAATAGTTTACTTTTTCACAGTAGAGAATTACACCAAAACGTTTCTAATATGCTCTCAGATTATCTGTTGAGCCTGAGTCCACAGCAGCAGCCAGAGAAAAGATTGGATGCTGATTTTTGTTGTTTTGTTTTGCAGTTTTCCAGTACTTGTCATGCTGCCACTGTGTTACACAGATGTTGAACAACGAGACTCACAAGCTGCAATTTTTGCCTTTTTTTTCATTAAATTATTTAATCTTAGCACATGGCATGTTGTTCAGTAACAATACAGAAAGTGCAGTATGTTGTTACATAAGTAACTCCATTTTCCAATGCATTCTGGGACCCTGACATTTGCAAGTGCGCTCTGCTGCATGCATCCATTTTGGCCCTGTGTCATACACATCACCTGGCATGAACATTGTGTTTGACTGTTGTTATTTGTGTCTAGTTTGTTCTGATTTTTTATGTTTTTGTCCTGCATGCTAATTGGGAGGTTGTCATTTCATTTTTTCAGTTGATGTCTGGTCTGTTGGCTGCATCATGGCCGAAATGGTCCGGGGTAGTGTGTTGTTTCCAGGCACTGATCGTATCCTTGAGTTGAACCGACCATCAGAACCTCAACAGTTGTGTTTGTTCCTGTTGTCTGCAATTCTTGTTCATATCTTTGTACAACAAAAGACCCTCTTATTATGTCCTGTGTACCCGAAAGGGTCCTGTAACCATTTGTTGAGAACCACCTTTGGAAACAGAAAAACTAATAGATACATTTCTTTTAAAATATTTAACTTTTTTTGTTGTTTAATTGTAACATTACTTTTGATTACATTGCTAACAGCTAAAACCATGAGCCATAAATTAACAAAACTAACTGGAAAAAAGACAGTACTCTAGTAAAAGAACTGCAGTGTAGTATAAATAAAGCCCTAGCCTGAGCTAACATCATAATTGGCTTTGTATTATTATGGTTAAACAAAGATGTGAACAACAATTTTTCTCCTGTATATCTTCACATTACATCCATATCCATATGTTAGTCCTATGATGGTCCATTTGTTTGAAATAATTTATTTTCAGTCACACATTCCATGGTGTTTGTGTTCCTAACAATCCATCTGGGTGTGACTGTTTCCATCAGTAAAATTTTATTTTTCAGTTGGGAACATTTCTGTCTTATCTCACAGTTGTCCTTTAAGACAGTGTTGCGTAACAGATTTGCCATTTTCATTCTCAGCATACAAGTGTTACCAGAGCAAGTCAAAACAATAGTCTGAGACATAACAAGTCTATGCGGCTCATTTTATTAGCTATAATTAGATTAAAATATGCCTCAGGATCCCTGCCCCTTTTTTTCCTTGTCCGTGTTTTTCTTCTTAATATCTAAACTCCAAGATATCGACCAGTGGAATAAGGTCATAGAGCAGCTGGGGACACCATCTCAGGAATTCTTGATGAAACTTAACCAGTCGGTGCGGACGTACGTGGAGAACCGGCCGCGATACGCTGGCTACAGCTTTGAGAAGCTCTTCCCTGACGTCCTGTTTCCTGCAGACTCTGAACACAACAAACTGAAAGGTATAAAAAAAAACCAGAGACTTTTCTTTCTTTCCCCTTAACGAACAATGTTGCGCAAGATATTCCTGTGACAGCTTGTTGAAGTAGAAGGAATTTCAGGTTGTACTTCCTGCCAAAAGCTGAATCTAGCCTGAAGGCACACACTGAAAAAACATTTAGATGAGCTTTTAGCATTCCAAAATGTGCCAGGAATAATAGGACAATTAATGTTTGTTACAGCTGCCAGCGTTAATGCTACACTGTGCCGCAGTTATACTGCCTAAAAAGAATTCAAAGGGCATTTTTACACCTGTGTTTTAACACCTGCTTGTCATAAATCGATGATGGCTTCAAGAAAGCTTGGCTTTATTTCACGTGGCCGTAACTCTGTGAGAAGCTGAGAGTTCAGAACTGACTTCTCTAATATGAGGAAGAATTTACATGCATCTGCTACTATAAAAATTGAAAAAAATGACTGGAACAGTGACTCCTGCTGGCATGTTGTAGGATGTCAGAAGAACAATGTATCTCTATTGTATCTAGAGATAGAGAGAATGTATCTATTTTTTTATATTAATAATTGTCGCGGTATCAAATACGCTCGCCATTTTTCCTTTCCTTTCCTCCTCTCAAGTTAGCAGGTCATTTGTATTTCTGAATGGTCCCTCCCTTCATTGTGCCCTGCTCTGCCTTCCTGTTTCTACAAGAAACGTTTTAAATTAATGAAGCCCGACACTAACAACTAAAACAAAATGCAGTTCAGTGAATTCTGTTTTTTAAGTTGACAGCTGAGTTTTTATTATCACAATGTTTTGTTTTGTTTTTTTAATCTTTGCCTCATTTTTCTCATCAGCGAGCCAAGCCAGAGACCTGCTGTCCAAGATGCTGGTTATTGATGCGTCTAAACGGATCTCGGTGGATGAAGCTCTCCAGCACGCCTACATAAACGTGTGGTACGACCCGAGTGAAGTAGAGGCTGTGAGTACTATTCTGAGTACATTTTACAAACTATTTTTAAATTTGGTGTAGTTTATTTAAGACCTTCAAAAACCACCATACAATAATTAGCTGTTATTTTTGTAAAAGATAATTTCCTGTGCAGGTAAAGGGGAGACTCAATAAATATGTACCTGAATTTCATCTGTCCACTACATTCACAGATTGGTACATACAGTATATGAAATATATTCTTTAGATGGAGCTGCTATCATCGTCACTCACTGTCCTCAGAAACCCTTTACAGTTCTTTTTTGATGCAGTCCCTTATGGTCTGATTGAAAACAGTGACTCAGCCAAAGCAAATTGATTTCTGTCTGTGCTCACACCTGCTTGTGAGATGAAGTAGCTGCAGCTTCTTCCTTCTATTTTCTCTATGGCATAAAGGTAATAGTATTTCTGTGGAGCAGTAGTTTATCTATAAAAAGTCCAGACTTGTTGATTTTAAAACTTCAGATGGAATCTGACCAAACACTGAGGAAATCACAAATTGCTAGAAAGGTTTGCTGTATGGTTCGTGGACTTTCTTGGAAAGACTCTGCTCTGTAAAGCAGAAACAAGAGCAGAAAAAGAATGGCCTGCTTCACAAATAGTGCTGCAGTGACCAGGATTGTCTCCCTCCATACCACTGTCTTCTCCACAGCTGGAAACCAAGAGTAACAATTGAATTGCTGTCTGCCCAATAAAACAAATTGGCATTGTAATTAATTAGCAAAAATAAATATTTACACAGCAAAACTTTTACTTGCATTTCATTTTATACATTCACTCTGTTCTGTGTTCAACAGTGGATTGATATTCACATTCAGGAAACAAATTCAGGATGCTCCATGTTAGCAGTTACTGAAGTCATCAGATTGATGAATGCATTAAGGTTTCTGCACTGAGCAGACGGCCTCCAGTCTCCTCAGCCTCCTGACGTCATGCAGCATTAACATAGCCTTCAACACATGGGCTAAAAACAGCTAACCAGAGCTAAGGGTCACGTCTTCGCCTGCGTACATGTTTTTAATGGGTTGGAGGAAATCCTTGTAGGAACTAGGTGAATAGTAAATGTCTACTGGTCTCAACACAACAGAAATAACAGAATGCTGAAGACTCAGAACTGGGGTTTTTTGCGTGTTTTTTTATTTTTTTTATTACTAAATGATCAGTTCTTGTATTGGACCAGATAATTAAAGTTATTGCCTGGAAATTCCATGGTATAATTAAAAAAAAAAAAAAACTCTTTCTTTTTCCAGCCACCACCAGCGATCACAGACAAACAACTGGATGAAAGAGAGCACACAGTGGAGGAATGGAAAGGTAGGAAAGCATCTTCTCCACTCACCTTCACTTATCTCCTATTCACTACTCTCCTGTCCTTATCTCTACCCACTTTCATAAGAGCTTAGCAATTTGGATGGGTTGCACAAGCTCTTCAGCTTTGTCCCTTACAACCTGAGGCATTTACTGTAGACTTAACACTTAAGCACATTGTGCTCTGCATCACCCCTTCTATAATTCATATATATATATATACTAAATAAAATACAAAGTGTGCTTAATAAGCCTGAAAGAAGCAAAAGTGAAAGTAAAAACATAATAGTTGATAATAAGAGACAGTAGAGTTATAACGACAGGAAAATCACACCTTAGCTTTTGTTTTTTCCTGATCGTGTCATGGTGAAACTTGACACATTATCTCATTAGGAAAGAAAATGTGTATTTTTGTCAAGTGTGAATCAAACAGTTTGGTGTAATTGTAAAAATCTAGACTTCCTGTAGAACAGATTTGGCATATATGCTTGTTTTCCCCATGTCTTATTAAAACTGCGAAAAGGTTGAAATTCCTCAATTAACAATTTATCTGGAACTGTCTTTTGCAGAGTTGATATACAAAGAAGTGTTGGACTGGGAGGAGAGGACAAAGAACGGCATCATCCGAGGACAGCCGGCCTCGATAGGTAAGTGAAGTGTCTGTAGATTTGATACTTTTACTTCAATGACTGTACAGTGGTTTTAAAAATCGAAATCTCTTTTACATCATGTTTTCTCAAGAGTCAAGATGAGTCTTTTTAAAGCTGAAAGACCTGATTAAATAAAATATAATATGGCTGAAACCTTGACAAAGATATAATGATAGAACTTGTTCAAGCGCACGTCTTAGAGAGATGACCTAAAATGTTACTTTCAGAGAATCTAACCCATAGGTGTCAGTATGGTGTCAGTAATAAGATGCAGAGATGCGGTGCAGTGCATGATTAGCTTAGCTGAGCCTGAGCTGACCAACAGAATCATCACAGTAGAATTTCTTTTCACCATAATCCTGCTGTTCACTGCTTACATAAAGAAGGCCATCTAAACTGGCAAATGTCAGTGTCTCTTTTGCCAACGACACCCAACTAGGTACGTATCATCTGATGAACTTCCACAGTTCATAGCAGTGACTGCATCTCTGCCTTTAACTTCTAATAGACTAACAGGCGTAATTCTGTATCCCACAGCACAGGTGCAGTAGTGCGCGACGGCGCCCACCAGCACCCCCTTTCTACATCCTACTCCTCCTGCAACGACATCACCTCCTCCATGTCTTCTGCCCTGACCCTCACTGGACGCCCACCTGAAGCTTGAGGACAGCCCTCAGGGCTGTTGCAGATGACTATCATCTCCACTGTCTGCTTTTGGGCGGAGTCAGGAACCCTCTGGTCACCTGTGTGACCCCTGCCCCTCTTCCTCCTCTCTGTGGTTGTCTTCAGTAGTGTAGTGATTAGCCAGCTAGCTGTTTTCTGAAAGGAAAGATTTTATTTTATTTTAAACTCTTTTATTTTGAAATCAGGATTTGCCTTTATAGTCTGAGCTGTAATTTATTGTGTTATTTCTTAATTTTCTTTCATGAACCTAAGATGATAAGAGAATTTTTATGATTTTACTACGTTATGGTTAATCGACAGTGAGAATTTAAAGATATATCTGTAAAAAGGTTTAAATGTGATCTATTTTTCTTTTTTTTCCTTTCTTTCTTACAACTTGCCATATACATGCAGATGGAGTTTGTACAGATTTTATGCTAGATGTAGTTTTATCTTCTTGGATTTTGCAGTGAGCCATTCAACATTATTTAAGTTTTCCCTTTTTTGATTTTAAGCATAATATGGATATTGATTATAACATTTATTTCATTTTTAAGGCAAACTGAGGTCCCGTAGATTTATTTTATATTTTGAGTCATTAGTACAGCATCATTGTAAATTCATCATAATGACATTTTGTAATTTCCTTATATTTAACTTGCTGTTCAATCTTCAAACTTACACCATTTGATTCTTTTTGCAATCTACACCTAAGGTCTTGGATTTAAAAATGTCAGTGACAGTGAGAAACTTGGGAATGTTTTTGATGACTTTCTTATACATTTTTAAGTGCTTTAAAAAGTAGACAGTTTGTGTGACGTGTAAGAAATGAAATGATGGAGTTGTTGAGGACTGGAGCTCTTCTTCAACAGGGTTCCTTCGAGGTTCAGGACTTAGGAATGTGTTTGGTTGTGTTTAGGGATTCTGTTCGAGAAGTGAAGTGATGCATTGGTTGTGATAATGGTGATGGTGTTGAGTAGGATGTCCTTAGTCAAGTAGGGATTTATAATATTGAGGGTCAGTGAATGTGTTGATATTTTCAGAGGGATTTTGGAGACATTGCAGACATTGTCAAAACGATGCAAAGAGAGGAGGCAGCGTAGCCAAGGTTGACGTCCGCAGTGGGGCAGTTACCAATTTTGGCTAAAAACTTCTTGGTGCGTTGTCACTTTAAAATGTCAAAGTTGCTTTTCAATAGCAGGAGCAACTGTGTTCATAAGACTTCTCTGAATATTTCAGTACTACTTGTCGAAAGGTAAATGTACAATAAGTAAACGCGATAACACCAAATCTGGGTGGGCATGGTTTGGTTTTTGCTGGTTATTTTGGTCACACTCTATAGATTGTTCTTTACAGATTGAGACTTTACAGAATAATTCAGCAGAGGGCGCTATAATCACAACTCAATCTACTTTTGACCCATCATATCAAACACCTTGATGCGATGTTGTTTGGCTGTTAGCAAGCAAGGTTAACAAACCTACCTTTTTTTTTAAAATTACAGCCAACAGTACGAGTCTTTTCCAAAGTAGCTGAGCTTGCTTTCAGGCAGTTTATGCCTCTGTGCCTGTGCAGGAAATGTGTTGTGGACATATAGAGTCTAGTGTGTTGTACACACTTGGTTTAGCTTGATTTTTTTTTGTTTAAGTGATTTAAGTGACAGCCCTAGAAAATATTTTATCTGCTATTTTCTGTACCAGATCCAGTTATTACTGATACTTACTCCTCTTATAAGCTTAACAATTAAAGTAAAATTAACTTTTTTTAATTGGCCACACATTTTTCTTATCAGATTTGGCTGCAAATGTTGATTTAAAAAAAAAAAATCCTGGCATGTGAAACAGCAGCACAAACGAGCTGAGATAATTAGACATGATTCTTACTGTATGCAATAATAGTGCCCTTCTAATGTTTGAGTTTTTTTAATTCAATGAAAAAAGTGCCTGTTGTTTGTCTTTCATTCCTGAGTACATGGGAGGGAAGTGTAGTCCTTACGTGAACTGTAAGTCTTTACCTGGATTAACAGCAGTCTTGTTCCTGTCAAACCAGTAATACTGTTTGTGATGGGAGTTTTCACAAATGTGTTGTATATTTTTCTACTTTATTTGTTTGGGTTTTATTTGCTTTTATTTGACCCTCAGGTCGTAAGCGGTGGTTTGAGAACGTAACGTTATATGCAGCCTGATGTTTGAGCACATCTTTGTGTCATTTAAGGAGAAAAGGCAGGTTTTGCCAAGGTCTTTCATCAAAGTAAAAAAAAGACAAAAAGACAGAGTATTTAATTGTAGTGGAGGCAAAGGAGACGTAGAATCTAGGTTGCAGCTTTCTTTTTTGTTTTGTTTTTGTTTTGTTTTTTTTTTTGTTAATTGTAAGTGAATGGACACGTTTTTTTTTTAACCTAGGGAATTTGATGAAGAGACAACTGTTTTTGTCAAATGGCTTTGAATCATGTTCATTAGAAAAAAACTAAATTGAATGCATCACCAATGCATTTCTAAGACTCATAACTGATAAGTAAATTGCTGTGTTGAGTTGCGAGGACTTGCATTTGCTCCTGTCACACAGATTGTTGCACCAACTGTTAGTCTATAGATCTTGCAAGAGAAACAAAACAAAACCAAAACGACTTCTGCAAACTCACAATAAAGAAGAAAGTAAAAAAATGACTTCATAATTGACCACAGTCATTTTAGGAACTTTGGTATTTAACTTTTTATTGATGATGTTCACCTTTATCACAATAACGATTGAGTCTGGAATTGGTTGTAGGTTGACTATATAAACACTAGATTAGATTACAGTAGTAATTTAAATTATGTACTCACCACTGCTGAGTACCAAACCGATACTTCTTGAGGTTGGCTTTTAACAAATAAGCAACGGACTCAAAGGCAGCGATATATAGTTGTCAAATCCCCACATTCTCATATGTTTGACATCGGTTCTGGCGGGGTTAAATTTATTTGGGCAGAGCAATGACCAGTACAACCAAATACTAGCCAAACAGAGGCAAAAAAAAAAGAAGTAATTGACTTTTGTACATAATTCTATGAACAATTGGCAAGTCATTGTGCGTTTAAACACAATCAAAACTTGTAATGGCTTCCCCACACTAGTACTTATGTTAGGACACCTTTTTCCTTCACATAAGTTCATTTCATTTGACTTGACAGTTGGTGCAACATGTGGTGACCAGCGTTGATAAAAGGGCGGTAGTTGTTATTGTACATCGAGAGTTGGCTCATTAGCTGGACCGTTCCTCATCTTAAAGCAGCAACTAGTTCAGTCTGACGGCAGTTAGTGGGCATGGTAACTACAACAACTTATTACTACAGTGGTAAATGTGTAATGAATTGCCACGACAGTTGAAAGAGCAGCAAGGAGAACAACTGTGACATTGGTTGTTATTATATTAGCACAAATGTTTCTCTGTTTTCTAAAGTGCTGTTGATTTTCATTCGCATGAAAGAAGCTCCTTTATTATTACCACTGCGTCTCTGCAAACCACATCATTCTGATCTAACGTGGGCTTTGATGAACTACCTCACACTGAATATCTGCCCGTTCTCAGTGAACTCGTATGTCGTCGCCTGCAGAGTTGTAGCTCATCGGAGACGTGTGAATAACAGATTCCATTATTTATTTATTTGAAAGTGTACTGTGTGTCAGTTTCAACAGACTTCTAGTTGTGTACATTATGTATACTCTAACCAGAAGTGAGAGAATTGTGAATTTATTTCTTCTGTTCTCAAACTAAATGTGCAATACCTTCAGCAAACTGTGCTAGTAGTATGTGATTGGCCTAGCCTTTGTTAGCTGTCTCCTGGAGGTAAAGAAAAATGTTTGGTACTGTCAATCCATGTTTTCCTACTTTTTTTTTTTTTTTTGTTAATGATCAAATTTTATTTCTGTGACTTCTGATGAGACAAATCTTTAAACCAGGGTTTGAGTCACAGCAGGGCAGACGGAGTAACGTGGACAATAATGTTAATAAACACAGAAAGATGACAAGTAAGTAACCTTAAAAGAAATTGTTGTATATGTACGGTGCTGGTTTGTAATGTTTGCTAGTGAATCCAGCCATGCAAGTAGATTAAAGAATTCCTGGAATTGTGTGTTCCAAAAAAACTGCAACAAACGAAGAAGTGCACTACTAGAATACACGCAGTGGGATCTGATGATGCCACCTCTTTAAAAATATAAATATATACAAGAAATGAATGAAAACATGTACTGCAAATATAAAACACTTCAATTCACTGTGTCATGTCATGTCATTATTTAGACAATATATGTAATAATATATAATATTAACCAGTTTTGCATCGTATTTGACAATATTGGAGTACGTTGTACCAAATTTTTAGTTATTTTGTGCTAAATGTTGTGACTTGCTAACTTGTAGCTTTTTCCAGGTCAACTAAATATCAACAATATCTGCAGCTCCTTTATTTATCCTGGCTCTCAATTCAGTGATTTGTGATATATGGTAAGTTACTTTTTGACTCGTTTGTTGTGGTTTTTGGCTAACTTTCAGGCTAACATTTGTACACTTGTTGGTCTACTACAGGTGGTGCCCAATAAGTAGATTGGAATCTACCAGTAAATCGCAAGGGGAATTCAGGTAGGTCCTGAGCAAGATATATTTGGTAAATGTTATGCATTTGCCAGATGGCTAGCTAAATATTAGTTATGGCTAACATTTAGCTAATCTTTGTAGATTTTAAAAAACATTGCCTCAACCTTCAGAAAAATTAGATCAGTAGCAAATGTAATTATTGACCAATTATTTGACAATGGAAGACATTAAAATGGTCCACGTTTAGAACCAATTAACACATGATTTCTGTCAATTTTATTCCCATACATGTGCGTTCATTACAACAGTGGAAATTCATAATAAATAAGCACCACAGTGTCTCCAATTGCACTAAAACACCTTCAAAGTGAGACAGAAAAGAAGAAAATAAAAGGAATCTGCTTTAGTCCTATACCACTGTGTCACGGTCTGCAGTAGTGGTACTTTATAACGGCAACAGTCATAAAGGACTGTTGTCGTGTAAACATGTGCAATTAATACCACTTTATTTATGTTCCTTTGTACAATGTAGGAAACAAAGACAGTCACATTGTGGAAAAAAAAGTCACACTTTCACTTACTGGTCGTTAAAGGAACATTCACATGAATCAATTGTGGTCATTCTTTTGCTTAAAAAGTTATTATTAGCGATCTAATCACATGCAAATGTCAAATTGTATCTCTTTTAATTACCTCAAAGGACACGTTTTGTAAGTGAACAGCTGCAGTCAAGGCAAACAGTTGAATGGTTGGAAGCACAGACAATTGGACATAGCTTTTGGGTTGATAAATGAATACGCCTTGGATTAAGGTTTAATTATCGTGTTTTTTGTAGACTTCCAAAGCCCATTAATGGTCTATGGAAACAGTTTATAAAACTAGGGAAAACATTCTGTCAATCTTCTCATCTACTTTCACCTGTCAGATCCAGGCTGCAAAGCAAAAAAGTCCAAAGGCTTTTCCCCAAGCAGCTTCCATCAGCTTTAATGGAAGGATCCCTATGTATTTCCTGGCCAACGTTCCCTGGAGAAGTGATGTTGCCCAGAACATCTGCTGTACTTAGGCTGACGTCAACCACTTACACTGACTCCTCTCAATGTGGGAAAAACAAGAACAGTTGCCGAGTCTGGACCAGCCCACCTGCAGGATTCAAAAAGTTCCCACTGAAACCCAACAGCTACATACATTTTTATATACTGTCTATGGTTATAAAAAACAAAAGTTTGACATTTTTCTCAATTCCTGTCCATCATTTCTGTTTCTTCACTGGGCTGGTTTCATTTACAACACATTACATTCACTACTAGGTTTACATTCTTAATCCAAAAACTTCCATTCAATTCACGAGTCACTTTCACAAGAGTTGGCACCTTCTATGGAAATCAGCCCATCGTCAGCAGTTACTTGCCATATAAAAAACAAAACAAATAAAAAAAAAACAAAAAACAGCATTGCAGCCACTGAATGTTTCATAGGGTGAATATGTATGTATATATATATATATATATATATATATATATATATATATTTATACACAACATCTCTGGACAAGCAGGCAACACTAACCTATTAAAAAACACTTCCCTGAAGGCACGAGCAGGAAATTCCATTGTTGTTTGTGTCTTTTGCTTTGTCTTCTGAGGGCAGTGTTCAAGCTTCATGTGCCAAAACCAACATGGCTTCCAGGAAGACCACGTCTGATCTTCTGTGATTGAACAGCTGAGGAGGTCCAGCCTTGGTATGTACTGTGCACTGTGAATAGTGACCTGCACAGTGTTAGCATTCAGCACAGGTGAGCATGCTTGAAACTTTTTTTAATGTCCCGTTTGTATTTGCTAGACTTGCTCAGGGTTTTTCAAACCTCATAAACATGAACAATTTCAGAATTGTTCATGTTTATGATCGAGTTTGAAAACCTCGATCATAAACAAAACATAACACCTGAGGGACGCTTCTCAACATGTTCTGTTGATCAAGTCAGACACCTGTTAAAATCTGTCTTAGAATATTTTGGATTTTCGACTAACCATTGTGTGTTGTTGTCCATAAGATTCTGGAGAAACCAAGAGTGAGGCGTTTCAGTCAAAAACATGGTGATGAAAGAGAGAGAGAGAGGCACTGGAGGAGGTACAGAGAAGGCTGCAGCAGAGATCCACTTCAGGACTGTTAGTGTTCTGAACCTTTTTAGATAAAGACTTTTCTCCATCTGTAGCTGGATGATGAATGTGTTTTCTCTTGTAAACTGGCTTCACAGCTGAAGAAACATTCCAGGAAAATTTGTTTGCTTTCTTGATGAGCTCTCCTTCCAGCTGATTGAACACTCCTGACTGCTGTCTGCAGCAGACGAGTTGAAGTTTCAGCTCCATAGATTTGCTGTACAGACCATGACTCCTTGGCAAGAAAGAAAAGGAGCAAACACATATTCCACAAAATTCCTATTCCCCAAAAACAGATATGAGATTAAGCTAACATCTCTGTACTTTGTTTTTCAGCAAAGTAGTGGTTTTAGATGTCGGTGCACCTCAGGAGAGAGAGATTGTTGGAGAAAATGACATTAGGTTCCACTTAGAGCATCCAAACTGTTAAAATACTGCCTTTAGAACACCCATAACTCTCATCTCAACGTACATAAACACGGCCTGGTCCATGTCCTTACTCATACTGAGGGCTTCGACTCAGCCCTCCTTAAATATAAACCCTGATGACAGCTACTGGTTTGGTCTCAGACACACGAGTGACCTTGTTGTATCAAATGTCGCTAGTCCTTGCACCCAGGGCGAGATCACCCAGCGTAGAAAAGAAATCCTCCATCTCCTTCTCCAGCAGCCTGTTGCGGTTCTCTGCATCCTCTCTCGCCCGCTCAGAGTTTCGTAGTTTGATCTCTAGCATGCGTTGCTTCTTCCGTTCCTGCTCCATCTCTTGTTCCAGACGCTCCATCTGAGCACACAGAGCAGTGCTGGACTCCTCCAGTCTTGAGAACAAAAAAAAAAAAACAAAGATCAACAACCACACACTCTTTTTTTCCCATCACCTTCAGCCTAAAAGCTGAAAATTGTGAAAACATCTAAAAGGTGACCTCTTAAATTGGGAAAAGGCACAACACCTAGCATTATGCTAACAGCAAAATCTGTCTACACGAAAACCCAAGTTATCTAGTTTTGTTAATGTTATTCAAAATGTAGCTGACCAGTAGTGCAGATTCATAAGAGAAATGTCCACATACTTTTGTATCCTGGCTTCATAAGTAGTTTTCTGCTTCCTCAGCTCCTCCTTCAGACCTTCTACCAGGCCACTCAGTGTTAAGTTCATTCCGTCTCCATCCTCAGTCATGATAATGGAGGGAATCTCAGGTGCCGTGGCCACGTTCCCGTTCTCACTGCAGGCTGCACTGCTGCTACAAAGTTCCATGGCCTCACAACTGTCCTGCTCAGAGCTGGGATCTGTCCTCATTCCTCCATCTCTTCCTCTGTCCACGTCCTTCTGGTTCTCCATCCACTCCACCTTTTCCTCACCATCACTTCCTACCCCACAGTTCTGATTTGTTGCCGGTTCACTTCCTGAATCCTGAACGGAGATCTCACAGGACGAGGTGGACCACGGGGTGCTGGACACACTTGGAACACTCCCCATGCTGGGGGAGGAGGTGACGTTGTCGTAGGTGGACAGCCTCTGTGAGGAGCCGGTGGAGTCGCGGTCTCGAGTGGATCTCTCCCCTGAAGAGGTACGACGGTGTCCTCTCAAAGACGACAAACCGTTCATGAGCCAATTACCTCCACTACCACCACCACCTCCTCCTCCTCCACCAGAAGATACACTGGTAGTGTCTGCTACAGAGCCACCACTGCTGCCCTGCTTGGCCTGTGTCTGAGAACGTGGGGCTGAAGAACTTTTGAAGGTGTACTTCCATGAAGGCAGTGCCTTGGCTTGTTTACTCGGACTGACCACTGTCTCCACTTTTCCTGATGAAGACCCCAGTTTTGGTCCAGGGTTTGGGTTCGGGGTCTGGGTGGGTGTGACGGCAGCACACAGTTTGGCGTCCAACGAGGAGGCGCTGCTGTGCAGCTCTAGGTCAGGATTTGAGACCGGACAGCTTTGAAGGTCTTCTTCAGATATCCAGGCACCAAGGCTTCGATGTTGCAGGTGATGACCCTGCACAGAGGGTTCTGACTGTACTATGGTGGGTACCTCATGGTCCCTCCCTGAGTACAAACGGTTGTGTTCCCTGATAAGGACTGTCATCAGGTGCTGGACCAAAGAGGTACCTGGACAAGATGAAGGAGATCGATTTGTTTCAATGCCAAATAGCTTTTTCAATCATTTTTATACATCAAGATTTTCTTTTTCAAATGGTAAACTGATAGAAACCAGCTGAAGTTCTCGGAGGTCTTTTACTGAAGCTAATATAAACAGCTGATTTAAAAGTATTTACAACTGTAGTTTTTGGTTGTATCCTTCAAAAACAGTAGTCAACATTAGGAAATACCTTCCATGATAGCCACTGGGTCCTCCATTTTGGGTCGAAGAATATTTGGTCCAAACACTGTTGCGAGGTTTTGGACGCTCATCTTGTTTTCGTTACAGTGAGACTGGACCTCATCCAGGAACCTAGAACCAAAGACACAGTTTGATACATGATACATATAGGTTTTCCATTTGGGAACTGTGGTTAAAAATCTCATTGAGATTAAATGTGATGACCAAGAACACCTCACATCAAACTAAAATAACAGAAGCAGCACTGGCCTTACTTGCATATGTACTTGAGGAGATTGTAGTTTGGTAGAGGTAGAACGTTGACTTGTTTACCAAGCTCCTGGACCCCCTGGTCAAAGATAGATTATTCTAATTGTATTATATTTCAAATACAAACATGACGATACACAGTCCATCGTGCCCACATATATGTGGGATAGGTGGTCCACATACCTCTTCCTCGTCTTTGGCCAACAGCTGTGCACAGGTTAAAAAGTCTTCATACTTAGAGAAGGGAATGACTGGTTCAGGCAGCTCCCGCAGGTACAACTTCAGTAAGGATGCCACCGTGTGGACGTCTGTGTTACTGCAAGACGATAACGGTGCGTTAAAAAGTGAATAATCATTTGTAGAAACTACGATTGTGTAAAACAGCTTTTGTCTACCTGTCAAACAGAGGCTTGTCTCCACAGTCAAAGGCCTCCTGCAGCTCCTTCACCAGGCTGGCCTGTCCTGGCATCCTAAACAGACCCTCCTCGTCCAGACCCCGCTCCCTGATGAAGTCCACACACTGCTCCACCAGCAGTGGAGCCAACCGGGGCCCAAACTTCTTCTCATACTGCACCGTGTCCTCCAACCGCTGGCCAAAGATGCCTGCAGCAAACAATGGACGAAGGTTGATGCTGACATTTATTTTGAAGTGAGTACGAATGCAATATGTGAGGGTTTCATTTATTAAAAATTAGATGAATTAATAAAAACTATATAGTATAAACAAAGATAACAAAAGAAAGCAAAGTATTTAGCAAAAGGTAGAAATATAGCACTAGCACTAATTTGTGGACCAGCAGTTAGAACAGATATAGGTTAATATTAGCTACACGTTCAGGAAACAAATGTATAAAAAATGAAGAAATAAACATATATAAGAACAGCTAGATGCTAGTCGTAAGGTAAGTGAAAGTTTTTTGTATTTGGATGAAATTAGCCACAATAAAGAAAACAGCTAATAAATAGGAGTAGCTCAAATGAACCTTAGGCTTTGGTGTACCCTGATAGAAGTGACAAAATAAATAAATAAAAAATAACTCCAGGGTAAAAGTTTTGTAAATTCAGAAAGCAGACAACATAAAACAAAGGCATGACTGTAGTTTAAAGAGCAGAACAGTGTGTGTTGGTTACCTGTTGAAGGACTACAGCAGTCACAGCTGGTCGACAGCTCACAATAATCATAGTAGTTGACGGAGCAGGGGCTGCACAACAGCAGCTGTGAGTGTTTCTCATAGAGACCTAACCCACACTTCACCAGGTTCATCCATTCAAGCTCAGGCATTTTCATCTACCCACACTGGTAGATGAACCTTTCACTCACACATGAAGTCCTGCTCTGCTCAGTCGTGAAGGACAGAAGGAGCTGAAGCTGAGACAGCAGGTGGTGTGTGTGTGTGTGTGTGTGTTGAGACCTAGCGGCTGCTGTTAACGACGGGTCGAAGACTTGGCGACAGATCTATTCTGGACTGTGTGAGACAGACATGTCCTACAGTGTGAATGTGAGAAGGTTGGAGGAAAATGTGAGTGAGCAGACACTGGTTGATCACTGGACTGTTTACATGGATGTACAGTTTCTGTTTTTATAATCATATACTGAATAACTGTGCTCAGGGTATGTATTATTTGCAATTGTTTGTAATTCTATATTTGTAACATACAGTAATAATAAATTCCATTTGTTTGTTTTATTCTACTGTAGGCTACAATACTAGAGTGGGTTACTCCATGGTCAACCAACAGACACTGTCCTGGAGCAACATCAGCTGTTAGACTGACTGAAGTGGAACTCCAATGTTTTGATCTGAATGAATAAATGAATGAATGAATTGAAGTTCTTCAGAAACATATATACTGGTTAAAATAAGAATTGTGTCTGCTCTTGATGTTTGATGTTGACTGATCTGACCGACTAGCCATCCAACCAACTGACCAACCATCCCTCCAACCAACCGACTAAACTACATTTATCCCACTATTAATACACAGCTCTTTTGTAACACAACACCATGCTGTTCAGCTGTGTCCCAGTTAATGCAGACTGCTTATATTTCTGGACCCCTGTCAACTGGACCGGTGAAACACCTGTGTCCACCACAGATTGAATCAACCAAAGGGTCAGTTACCTCCGGAAAGTCCCTTTTTTTTTAACAAAAAAGTTTATCCAGGTTTATTCTGGATCCTCCCACCAGGTGTCACTGCAGGCAGAAATCTAAGAGAAGCTCACACGCCTCTGACTGAATTTGAACCAACACTGTAGTGAAAATGACTGACAGCAAACTCTGATCACATTTCAGCAGTCAAGTTCTATTGGACTCCAGGAAGAGTGAGAAATAACTGCTGTGTATGGACATGAGAAACAGACATACTGTAACATTAGGAGAATATATTCCAGAGTTTCCTAACCTTTTCTGTTCCACAGGACATAGTTCACATTTCAAAAAATATCACACAGTGTTTCAGTGGTTGTGTCTTGTCATGTTGCAGGTCAAAGGTTTGGTGTTACCTCCTCCAAACGGTGCCCAGATGACCCGCCGTATGGCCTTGACCCAGTCGTCCATGTCCGTCTGGGAGTTGGCCATGAGCAGGAAGGATTCATGGCTGACGGCTGCACGGTCCTTCTCTCCTGCTCCACCTACAGGGGCAAATAGAGGGAATCAAACAGTACAAAAGAGAAGAGGTCAGTAAAACACAAGCTGAAAATTATCCTTTAATTTCATGTGTATGAAGTACACAAGTAAGCTGTTACCACTAGAAAAACATAAAAAATATAGATTTAATTTTGAAAAGAAAATTAGCAGTTAATGGTGACTAGTAATATTTGCTTCAACAATTTAATTGTATTTCAATGAAAAATATATATAAGTTATAAACACAAACTATATATTATAAAACAAACAAAGAAAAACATTTTGTCGCGACACCCTCACTTTTCCCAGCCGTTGTGTTGTGAGGGATTTTAGCCGCTAGATGTCAGAGATGCTGCACTTTGAAACGGCGATTCCACAGTCCGTTTACAGTAGTTAGCTTCTCTTGGAGGTAGAGGATACAATCATTAGCGGTTTATGTTTAATCTTTACATTAACCAATAAGGTTAATGTAGTCAGCCTGGTTGTTGTTCTGTTTGTTGAAGCTATTGTCGTGTTAAAATCCTCTGGTTGGCTCAGTCACAGTCACTGTTGTCACAGCCAATTAGCTTTGAGAATGGGAATTCAAATATAAACAGTGAGACCATAAAAGACAGTAGTTTAAGTGTCATCATCCAGCTCTGCAAACACACACCGTCCTGGAGAGGCAGCCTGTCCTCACAGCCTGTCCTCACATGTGTCACTAACACAGGCTGTGTCTGTGTGGAGGTGTTCCAAACAGTAGCTGTGAGACTCAGGTTTCCTCAGGAAAATAGAGGAATGAACAAAGTAGGAGAAAATTCTACATTTTCTTCCACTGAATCACAATCGGTGGTTTTCAAAAAAAAAAAAAAACCCCCACAGTAGGACTGAGACGGTTTTGTTTTGTTCTGAAGCTACAGTAAATGCCATCAGCCTGAGCTGCTCTCCACTCCACCACTGTCTCCTCCACTCTTGTAAAAACTCTCCAGCATCTGCTTGACGTTACCTTGGAGATGTTGTTTCTTCAGTCTGTCCGGTTTACAGCAGACCGGCCCCATGTCTGACCCTGGCTCTGTCTCTGACCTAACTCTGCCGCTACTGTTGCCGCTGCATGCAGTCGAACCAGCAGAACGGAGTCCGTTCTGGAGCAGATCTGTCCACAGGTACCACTCAGAGCCAGAACCGTCCAGTGAGACATACTCAGTGTGAAAGAAGACAAAGTCCAGTCCAAAGAGGGTTCATTCTGTCTCCTCGCTCCTTTATCCTGTCCATTCATTCACTGACCCTGGGTCTGATGACCCTGGACACCAGATCCGGTTCCTTGGACCCACTGAAGGAGAACAAATCCCTGAAGAGATCTGGGACTAGAATCACTGTCCCTCTCTTTGTCCCTGTCTCTGTCTCACTGTCTGTGTGTGTGCTGTACATAGGAGATGGGCCGTCCTCCAGTCTTTGTCAAACAAACTTGTACACACACACACACACACACACACACACACACACACACACACACACTGGAAACAGACCGAACTAATCAATCCCCATGCAGTCTTTGGATTCTTCTCAGGTTTTTAGTTCTTTTTTCTGTACTATTTTATCTGACAGCTGCACAGTAGAGGAGTGGTTAGTGCTGTTGCCTGACTGCAGGAACATCACACGTTCAATTCCTTGTGGTAACTGTTAGTTTGAGAGTTTGCATGTTCTCTTCGTGGGTGTCTCGACTTTCACAGTTGAATAACTGATCCAAGATTTAGTTTGTTATTCACACTAAATTGACCACATGTGTGAATGTGAGTGAGAGTGAATGTTTGTCTTGATACACCACTGTGACCTCTGGGAAATAATACATCAATAGACGATGAATCAGTAACAATAAGGCCATTTTTGTTGTTAAAGTTTTGTTTTGTTTTTCTTGTTTTTGTTTTCAATAAATAACACTATCCATTTCTGGCTTCAACTAATGAGGACTTAGTGAGGATAGATGAGGTTTTAGAGAGTGTGTCTGGGAGAGGGTAAATTAGCAAAAGCTGTCACATTTACATATGTGTGTGTGTGTGTGTGTGTGTGTGTGTGTGTGTGTGTGCATGTTTCCAGATGGTTTAATTGTTTCACACCACCACCACCACCACAGAGGCACTGTAGCCTTAGGTCAGACATTAAACACAGAGAGTATCTTAAAGATAGCCAATTATTTGCTCATTTACTTTCAGCCCTCAGGCTCAGACAGGAGCTGGAGATTCAGACACTGATACACAACTGTGAAGTCATCATGGCCCACAGATTTAAAAAGAGGAAATCATGGATTCAGTGCAATTTTTAATAGTTAGCATGCTGTGTGTTGTTGATAAGAGGAAATCAAAAGAAATACCAGGTCAGTGTTTGTTCTAATGTGTACTGTTTTGTTTTAATGACTTTTTGAGTTTTTGTGTTCGTTTTAATGTGAAAAATCACAAGATTCTTATGAAATTCCTCCTTCTGCTTAATATATAAATGTGGGTTTAATGTATGGGATTGTCATTGGATTTGGTGGTTATTAAAAATCCAAATGTTAGACTCAGGTGATTGGAATGTTAATATTTGGAGTTTGTATCAGTCTTAAAATGTGTCTCAGTCAGGACCTCTGTGAGGTTTAGTTTGGAGCTCCATGAGGATGAGTCTGTGGATTTACAGGTGCAGAGAGCAGGTTGGTTTAAAATGAAGATGTGAGAATCTGGGTTTTGTTTGAGTAAAATGTGCTCAGTTTTAAGGTTCTTGGTCTCAGAGCAGTCCTGGACTGAGAGGCTGTAGGTCAGATGTTGATGGAGGTTCACACTCCTGTGTGACGTTGACTGGCCATAAACAAGACACACAGGTCTGGCAGCAACGCTAAACGCACACACATATAGACAGAGAGAGACAGAGAGAGTGCGCACGTGTGTGTGTGTGTGTGTGTGTGTGAGGTGACAGCTCAGCTTCTCTGGACTCACCAACAGATCTATTTACAGAACCAGGATCAGCTCTGACTGAGGCTGCTGCTGCTGCAGCTTTACTTTCACTCCATCACTGTTGACCTGCAGCCAGAGTTGACTTTCACTCTACATTTAAAACGCCAGTCAGCAGCTCTGAGCTCACGTCATGTCAGACTGGGAGATTAGATGAACTAGTCTTTTTTTTAGGTAGCGCCCCCTGTTGTCAGAAAAGTGAAATTTCCCCAACAGTTTCTCCACAAAAACAGGCCAGAGAGTGTGTGGCCCACATAGACATGTTGGCTGGGTGTGGATCTGACCTGGTACGATCTCAAACAGATGTCTTCCTGGTTCGTCAGGGTTGGCTGTGAGTTCATTCACCTGACATCCCTGCAGAGGTATACAGCCCTGTGGATGATAATGGAGGAACAATCATTTTACTCTTTATTGGCTTCTACACAGCACACCATTGCCTTAATGAGCTCTTTATCCATTACTCGTCAAAAGAACCAGGGACTGGGACAGAGTTCTGGACCACATTATCCTGATCAATACAAGCCCAAGACAAGTGAAGAGAAGCCAGCGCCTGTGGGGTGGGCATTCTCCATCAAACATGGACAGAAAACAAAAGATGGTGCCAAAAAAATAAAATAAAATAACTACAAAGGCCTGGAGCAGAGGGCCGGGCTGTCGCCAGAATTAGTTGCCATGGTTACAAATGGAAGAGGCTGAGAGATGTGGATGGATAGAGGACAAGGGGCAGGAACCAGAGGGGAGGAGGCAACTCCCCAGGGGGCAGCTGTGTGTCACGGGTGACAGGAGGAGAAGAGGCAGAGATGAATGAGTGAGAAAAGGCAACATGTAACCCGAGAAGAAGTGAGGAGGAGGAGGAGGAGGAGGATGATGATGTGTGATCTGTGTCCTGGTACAGAGGCTCTGACTGATATATATAGTTTATATGGAGCCCACACAATTTGCCCAGTTTAATCTGGACATTTTTTTTTTTTTTTACTTTTTAACCATGTATCCCAAATCTACTGTACATACTGTGCGTGGGTCTCATATGACCAAACTGGCTCAGACAGGCTTTTTACAATCTGAAAGTCAATTCGCAAACACACTCGTCATTATTCCACTCATGTTTCATGCATGATCTTTCAAGCATGTCTGGATCGGATGATTATCCTGGACCAGGTCTCTGAAGACCAGCTCTCAGTGTTGTCTGACTCCACCCGTGTCAGATCAGCAGGTGTACAGTTACAAACACAGTTGTTATTGATCTGTTCTTTGGGCTCAGGCCTTAAATTCAGCCTCCTTTTGTTAAATACACACCACACAGCACCGAGCAGTGGACGCTGCAGCTCATAAATCTGCTGCAGTAAAACCACCATCACGTTGTTGCTCGTGCAGTGAACTGTCTCAACTGTGGTGTTGTTTATTCTTATTCACCGCCCCAACAGCTGGTCCTCCACTGACTGTGTCCTTAAACAGCACCTCTCAGGTTTGAAAATGTAATAATTTACAGCATTTAAATGTTACTGATGTAGCTCTCGCCGTCCCTTTAAAAAAATGAAGGTAGAGTAGAATCCCATTTAGTGTCATTTAGGAAAGACAACCCAAATACAACTGGTATTGGAATAGAGTAGGCAGGATGGAACAGCTGGAGAAAAGTGTCAGGAGTGATCTGTGACAGAAGAGTGTCAGCTAAGGTGAAGGGAAAGGTTTACAGGACGGTGGTGAGACCAGCCATGATGTATGGTTTAGAGACAGTAGCAATAGGCAGAAGACAGGAGGCGGAGCTGGAGGTGGCAGAGTTAAAGATGCTAAGATTCTCTTTAGGAGTGACAAGAATGGACAGGGTCAGGAATGAGGTGATTGGAGGGACAACACAGACAGGAAGGTTTGGAGAAAAAGCTAGAGAAGCCAGATTGAGATGGTTTGGACATGTGCAGAGGAGGGACAGTGGATACACCGGTAGAAGAATGTTAGAGATGGAGCCACCAGGTAGGAGAAAGAGAGGAAGGCCAAAGAGGAGATATATGGATGCAGTGAGGGAGGACATGCAGGTAGTTGGAGTCAGAGTAGAAGATACAGAGAACAGGGAGAGATGGAAATCAATGATTCGCGGGGGCAACCCCTGAAAAAAAGGGACAGCTGAAAGGAAAAGAAGAAGAAGGTAAATCCAAATACAACCGGGCATGAGCACAAGGCAACGAAAAATCATTAAATGTGTTTAAACCAAGGTTAAAATGATACAAAGTGTCAACATTAAAATATAAATTTTGTTAAAACAACTACAACATAGCATGGTAAGGAGTGAATATTCCTAATTAGTAGAAGTTCTCTTGCTTAAATTAAGTTAAATATTTACCCATTCTAGGTATTACCCACAGAGTAGCTAACCAGCTTAAGACTAGAACTGGCCAAAATTGCATTTTTAAAGACAGCAGATGGTTTGGTCACTAATAACTAATTAATGTACTAGTTTTACTCAATTATTTTTTTGTTGGTAACCTCTGTTTAAAACACATTTATTACCTAATTTAACAATTTTAGCTCAGAACAATAAAAGAGGATGTTGGACTCTGTCACCAAGACTGAAACAATCAGATATTGTTTTACTTATCACATTATAAATGACTGGATATGGTTTTCTGACAGGCTGCTGTGATTCAGAGCTGCAGATTCATTTAGTATTCATTCTAATGACCCGTGTCTCCTCCTCGTCCAGGTCCTCACTCTCCTCCTCCTCCTCCTCCACCACTACTGCACCAAGAGAAAATCAGCTGGCAGGTAATTAATGTGCTTGTATTTTTTTCCTATAACACTCTCATGTCCAGAAGGAAGAAAATTGAACGTTCACAGATTCTGTTCAGTGTTGCATCCACTTCCTCCAATTATCACGTTGTTTCATTTGACAGTGTAAATGGAGGAGGAGGAGGAGGAGGCGCAGGTGGTGATGGCTTCCTGTTGTACCACCCCACCTGCACTCTAACTCCACCGATCCTCAAATTTCCAATTAATAATCAGATGAGAGGGAGAGAAAAAAACAACACCAGAATGACTTCTCTCACACGTCCTGTTCTCAGAGGGCGGGGGCTGGGTAGGTCTACATCGGTTCTAGATTTTTTCTAGATGTGTCTGTCTCACACCCAGGCACGTTTCACCATGCATTTTCCCATAATCCACTGGGAGTTACACATCAGTAGAGGCTGATGAGAATTGACAGCTGCTGATTGAAGACAGTCTGTAACTGTGTGTGTCTGTGTGTGTGGTAATTCATTATGTTTGGGAAATGTCTATATATATATATATATGTCTTTATGTTTGGGAAATGTCTTTATATTTGAAAATAAGAATTTACATTAGTATCTAACTTCTGGCTAGCTGGTATTAGCTCTGTGTCGAAACCTATTCAATCTCAGCAAAGAGCAGAGAGTGAATGGGCAGTGTATACAAAAGACGACAGGAAAATAACTGAAGCGTGAGTCTATCAATGAAAATGTCACAATTTTCAGCCCAGTGTTTAAGTCAGTGTCTAGCCAAAACAAAAACCGGTAAAATAATACATCCACTCAGAGAATCATAAAAGCCATTGGATCGATAAGAGATTTCTTCTGTAAACATTTGTGCCATGACGTTCTAATGGAGCTGTTAGTGTTGATGTGACTCATCAAGAATAGATCACTGGATGTAGCTGCAGTGAAAGTGACACTGAGGACGTAGAACTAAAGCACCATGGGTAATCATGGCCTGTTGGTCTATAGAAAAGAGCATTTCTTCTTATGATGTCTGCGATGGTGTCCAGTCCAGCATCTTTGCTGGTTCTCCTCAGCACTGGTCCAAACCATCTTAACAGGTCTGCTCTAAGTTCACGCCAACCTTAACTCTACCTCGGCCCTGCTTCTTTCTAACCCTGTCCATCAGCATCTTCTCCTCTGACACCTCCAGCTCAGCTCCTGTGTCCAGGACACTCATCTTGGCAGACCTGACTACGGCCTTTCTAAACTGGTCTTTAGACCAAACATACTCTGATGTGGGACCGTCACCTGTGGTTTGGTTTCCTCCTCGTCCTTGTAGAAGTAAAGCTGATCAGAGCGCAGTACAAACCAACGTAGCTGCCAGTTCTTCATGATGCTGCGCTGTTTCTTCAGCCAGCCAGCCTTCAGCGCCCCCTCCTGGAGGCTCGGTGAGGCCGGCCGGCAGGAGGCCCGTGACACCTCGCCCATCACCATGCTCTTGGACCTGGCTGAAAACACATACACGCACAACCGCACATTAGCATTAGCATTTAAGCATTTGTTTTTAAACAACCACACACGCAATCATTTTAAGGCATTTGTTTTGAAATGTGTGTGTATTCAGACAGAGGAGTGAAAGGTTTCACAGGTCAGTTGATTGATTTCTTGTGTCTTCAGTTTATCTGGATCCTGCCTTTTCATTATCTCCTTAATAGAAGCTTGTATTGTCCCTCGTTCTGTATGCTGGATGCACAAGCTCACACACTGATACACAGGGCCTGTGGATGAAAGACGAAGAGCGACTGCAGAGAGGCTGCAGGCTCAAATAATAGCAGAGAGTAGATAAAATAGAGTGTGTGTCACTGGAGAGAGCAGCTCTGAACACACACATACACACCTATACACATGCACACACACACACACACACATTTATAGCCTCGGGTGACAAGGATACCCCCCTTTCCCTCCGCCTCCTCCCATATCACAGGTCCTTGAAAGAGACTTATTGTGGAATAGCTCAGGCTTTTGGGCCCAGATAATGGGACCACATGGGATTGACTGACTGTCTGAGTGACTGCCTGTCTGCCTGACATCATCACCGACAAACGCGTGTAACCTGAACTCTGTCAAGGACGAGTGTAAAAATGGGGAAAAGATGAAATTGTGACATTGGGGTGATTCCTGGATCATTGGACAAATCTATTTCAGAAGCAGTTTTGGTTTTTCAGTCTGGGGAATCTGATATCTGTGTGCGTGTGTGTGTTTGGTAAAAATCTAGGATTCAGTATTACATTTTCTTTAACATAAGGGACGCGGGGTTGTAAATGGATGGGAAAAGAGAAGAGTGATAAATTGTAGTCAGGCAACGAGGCCTTTCTATTAGATGATCATGTATAATTTATTGAAATCAATGGTTCAGGCATTCTGTCATACACACAAAACACACACACACACACACACACACGATCAATGCTGAGATGTCACAGAGGGATTAAGGTGGAGGCTGAATGAAGAGAACACAGAAAATCAATGTTTATTTAGTTGTATTGTCTGCTCTCTTTATGTCTGATATTTATAATTTCATCCACATTGTTCATGTCATTTGTCATCTCACAAACTGACGTAGAAAACCTGTTGATCTTCTAGGAATAGTTCAGCGAGTACCAAAAATAAGTACTTTGATGTTTTTTAAAAAGAAATAATATTTATGCTAGTTTTTTTTAAACAGCTTTTGTATCTAAATGGTTAGGAGACTATCACGAGCATTTGTTGTTTCTGTATATGTTGAGCCTTAACTTATAATATATTTACACAAATGAACATATTTGACATATTTGTAAAATTATTTTTACATATTGTTTAACAGTGTTTTGTGAACTTTTGTTATTTTTGGCCTAATTTTCTCAAAATCTGCAGATTATCAGATTTTTTAGTAGTAGTAGTTTGCTTTTTGGGAAGATTAATTAATTAAGATATATTGTAGCTGATTTAATTTTTTTTGCCCTTCTTTGTTGCTATTTTCCAGTTGTTTCGGGGGGTATTATATTTGTGTAGATGTTTTTGTGTCTACATATGTGGTTTCTGTTTCACTTTCACCATCTGTCTTTTTGGCTGAACTGATTTTTTCTGATTCTGTAGATTTTGATTTGTTGTTTGATTTGATTCCTTTTTCTTCCCCTCTCTTGAACCCCGTCACTTGACCTAGGCTTTTCTCATTTATCCATTTTGATGCTAATTCTCTTCTTTCTCCTCGTCTTTCTCTTCCACTTTCTCCTCCTCTTTAACTCACCCTTATCCCCCCTTCCCTGCCTCCTTCATGTTCAGCCCTGCTGGGTCCATTGAATCAAGCCTCTGTTATGACTGAAAAGCAACAACAGCACATGTGCACACACACATGCACACACACACACACACACACACAACTCAAAGATAACAGTTCTTATCACCAAAACCCAATTAAAGCTGTTTTTATCTTATAAATGTGAGCATTTGTAAATTAGAGACTAATTATTTCTGCTGTCAGAGCAGTGTGGACTTTAGAGTGCTTCAGAGCAGTCATTTAATTGAACAATTTTAAATATATCTTATAATTAAAAGTGTAGTAAGCAGAATTGCTCTTTCAGCTTTAAGGGATCTTTGATTGTTTGAAGGAGGTTATTTTTAGGTCACTTAAACTTTTTCTAATTTGTGCAAACAATAAAACTGTGTGTCTTCATAGCAAATAAAAATGGCCGATATGCTGTTAGTTTGGCTCCTGGCTGCAGCAGTACTAGAACCTAGTTCTGGTTCTTTTTTGTGGAAACACGAAGGCCATATATTTCTACACCATCACACACTCCTAAAAGTTCTACTCACCTTCCCTGCCCTCTTTGACCTTCACCCCTCTGCTCCTACTCACTCCATCATGTCCCTCCATGACCTTCTGTCCCTCCTTGTTGTGCCAGCGTTTGCACAAAGAACACAGCAGCTGCCTTGATCACACTGGACTGGAATCAGTGGAACACAGACTGCTTGTCCCGATGATTCATATCTGAGTCATGAAAGTTTTTTGACTGTGTGTGTGTGTGTGCATGCATGTGTGTGTGCCAGGCACGACTACCCACGATGCCAAATTGGTTTCTCTGCTCAGAGTGATTCAGTTCTTCCTTCTTCCCTCACTTTGGGTGGAGCATCAATCATCAGCTACAGTTTCTGAAACTACATGGTTTCTCTGCTCTTTATGCAAAATCACTGGGATTCTCTTAGATTCAGAGTCAGATTTTGACTCACGCATTTACAGTAGCTGGAGAGGCTGAGTCCAGTAATGCAGTTGTACCGTCTGTCTACGTCACACTGTAATGTTTCAGTCATGTTGGTCTGTGATTCACGTTAGTTCATCATTTGTTGGTTTTTTAACATGGAGATGAATCTCAGCAAATAAGACCCATGCAGCCATGGGCTGATGGGCAGTGACATGATGAGTATGTCAGTAAGAGTGCAGATTACATTAAAGGTAAATGGACACGGCTGTGAATACAGATCTGTAGTGACAGTGGAAAGAATAAGAAAAGAAAATCTGCTCAGATTAAAGTTCAGTAAAAATCAGTTGATAAAGCCCATGTGGGTGAAATCAATTTGGGTGAATCCCCCTTTATTAGCTGCAGTGCACCAGTCAATTCCATTATATTTCCCATACTGGAAGGAAACTGCCACAAAAAGTACCGCCCTGGTACTGTTTACTTCTCAGGTGGCTGTATCTGTCTCTGTCAATAAACATCAGGTCAAGTTTGTTTAAATGCTGCCACGTTCAAGTGACTTTGAAACATAGGAGCTTATGGCAGCAATTGACAGCATTCATGGTCTTGAACTCTGTAATGACAGGTTTTTGGTGGTGAAATCAAACGCTGTGTGGCCAAATTCTCACCATCACAGTCTGACCACCCAGCTCACTACGTAAGAACTATTATTAAAGCCTGGTTTCTGAGGAGAAATGCTCTCTGTTTTACTATTGAGCCAACCATTAAAGTTGGCCACTTCCACTTCCTCCCCTGCAGAAGGTGCTGTAGACACTGGTGTAAACCCTGCCCCATGAGTTTATTTAAACTAAATAAACATTTTGCACATGACCAAGTAAAAGATTCAGAAAGAGATCAGTGGCCAATCACACATAAGAGGTGTGTGATATCACACAACTGACTGACGTGCTCTGGATCTGCTCCTGCTGCCAGTGGTAACAATGTGAGGTTGGGACCCCCAGATGGATGGTCAAACCTGTAGTGTAAAGCGCTTGGAGACATAATGAGGCTGGACTCTTTAAGTCATGTTACAGTGTGAATGAATGGTCGTCTGGAGACCTGAATCTCAAGGCAAGTGGTAGAACACATGATGGGACACCTGATGCTCCATTTATACACACACACCCACACACACACACACACACACTTCTGGCCTTTGTGATGTCACTTAATGTAGTTTGGAGCCATATAAGCATCATCAGCAGG